TGTATATTCTTTGCCGCGGAAACTGCTTTACGTAGTTGCTGCTAGTATCTGCACCGTTGTCTAGTAAGGGGTATGGGATACACAGATATGACGGTGATTTCATAAGCCTACTTTTGTTTTTTGAAATAGAGAAGTACGCCAACATATGAAAGTAGGCTTGTGAGATCACCTTGCTGTCTACATATCTCCTTGTTGCTAGGCTTCGGGTCAGTAAACAGGTTACCACGACAACAACTACACATGCAACAGTAGAAGGATATTTTCACGCCTCATTTTCTATGCGGCCCATGTCGTATCAAAGGAAATAATGCTATTAGTTCTTCCCAGAACTAATTTTATCACCATAAGCAATATCTCGGAATACATTATCGGGATTATGTAATAAATTGTTCTGTCCTCCAACACCAACTGCAGTAGTTTGTGTACTACCATCTAACGGTCAGAATGAGAACTATGAAACTGTGTGCTAGGTTATTTGTACTAGAGTTGAAAGTCGCAATAAAATTCTGATGCAGGGTTACCATGCATAACTACAATCTGTATATGCGGAGCAGAACTTGTGCAGGATCCACGACGGTGTGTCTGTTTTAATTCATGGTTCAATGGCTTTATTACGTGTTGTTTAATCCAAGGAAGAAATTAAGTGTGCGTTCATTTTATCAACATAACCCCAAAAGTTAGCACGTGCACCATGTTTACTGAGGAATAATTTCGAGGTTTTGAGACAGTGTATTCCACTTTTACAGGGCTGTGTTATGGACGGGAAAAGTAATATCCTGCAACATTGATTCTGCTAGACTGCTGCAAAAGAAATATTTGTGCAGCAGACATTTCTTGGAAAGTAATTTCACTACACGAGAAAGATTACACGGTTCCGGGTGGCTCCGATTCTGCTTCGCAATCATTCCCACATCCTCCTGTCTCTTCATTGAATCCTTTGCCCTCAGTTATAAATCACAAAGACAATATTCACGATGTATTTCTCACCTCCTGAAGAACACACTGATGCCGTCCCCTGTAACACATATTCCTATCCATGCACATGGTGTGGTGACAGGTCTCACAAGAATTTACATTCCTTGGTGGTGTAAGCAAGCAAACAGGTTGAAGAGTGAAACGGTCAGGCACAGAGAGGAAGATGCAAATCGTGGCATATCAGTAAGTCATTAGGAAAGTAACACTTCTTCATTTTTGCCTTGGAACGTCCTGCCCATACCTACTCATGGAGCAGTTATTGAACTAATGGAAGAATATCTGTGGCAGTTGCCCATGTGAGCATCATCAGATAATTCATAAGTTTGGGAAAGCAACCCTTGTGACAAGCAGCTGGAGTGCAAAAACAGAAAGTAACATATATTTAGGTACTCAGTACTGTGTTGATTACATCATGATCATCTGCAGTCAGAGATTGTGTACAAGAAACTAGTTCTGAACTTTTGCTCCATCTCTTCACTGCTTTGCAGACACGTGTTTTTCATCTCTGTATGTTAGAACATAACTTCCAGACGATGGTCAGAGTTCATTCTGTGCTTTATCTTGAAGTGATTATATTTCTATTTAGAATTGTATGGGAAATTGTTTCCTAACTCACATGGTGTAGGTAAGAATGAAGTGCCATTACTTTACAATTGACTTGAAATGTTCAGTTTATCTGCTTCAGTATGAAACAGTGAGGTGCAGAATTGATAGCAGGATTCACTGTGTATTTTGCAATTAATTTTATCATCTATTTCTGAGGTAGGAAGTTAATAGTATTTACATATTTTATTCAGCTCTTATTATTTTGGGTATGTTTTTCATCTAATTTATTATTATGGGTATATTCTTTCAGTTATTTTATTATTTGGTCCACATTATTATCTTTAATAATGAATTTGGAAACATGAGTATGTTTCAGGATCATGAGTTCAAAGTTCTTTAATAATGTTATTGCTTTTCATATATTATTAAATGCAGTCCTGTGCCTGTGTTTCTATATGGGTGTGAAACTTGGTCTCTGACATTAAGGGAGGAACATAGACTGAGGGTGTTTGAGAAAACTGCTTAATGAGGAGTGTTGTAATTTGTACTCTTCTCCAAGTATAATTAAAGTCAGGGAGGAGGTGATGTGCAGGGTATGTATCACGAATGGGGGAGAAGCGGAATACATACTGGATCTCGTGTGAAAGCAAGATGCAAACACATCATTAGTAAGACCTGGGCGTAGGTGGAAGGATAATGTTAAATTGTATCTTATAGAAATAGTATGGGCTGGATCCATTTGATTCATGATAGGGACCAGTGGAGGGCTGTTTTGAACACGATAATGAACCTACGGGTTTATAAAATTTGGGGAAATTCTTGAGTAGCTGAGTGAATAGCAGTTTCTTAGCTCAGCTCCATTGATTTGAGTTAGATACAAAGAACACACTTAGTATGTGTGACCTCAGTTTCTAATATCAGAATTTACCCATTATTTGCAGTTACTGCTTGTCCGCCACTAACTTGTGTGTCATTCAACTGTACTCCGGAATACTATTGTGTAATGGAACGAGTTCTGTGCAAGGAGAAATGTCCATTAAAATGTAGATGTATTAAAGGTTTGTTTCAAGTATAACCACTCTGGTCCATGTTCATGTCAAGTCCCAGTAGGAATATGGTACAATGTTTAGTGCCTGAGACCTCAGGATGTCAAGTAGAGTTCTTGCCTGGCCAACTAGAAAGTGTCAGACTAAACTGGATTCTAGTTAATGAGTCCAGGTGACCCAAATAACTTTTATCACCATAATGTCCATCACATCAGCACTCCCGACCTTAGGAGTTGAAGACTGAATGATTTCAGACATCTTAAAACATGGCAGTATATTTTATACTTCTTTGGGCCTCCCAATTATACGTAAGTAGATCACGTGCAAGAACTTCGGCATATGGTCGTGCGTGAAAGTAGAATGCATGGGGAAGCAACAGTGTTGTGTTGATATGTCTCTCTGCTAGCAAGCAATGTGATGCACACAAATCCAGGCAGCCGTATGACCTGCTTCACCTTTGTTCTCATTGTTCCAGCTAGTAGGCATGTCCATGTTTTTGTTACTGTGTCCAAACAACAGGGCAGTGTTTATGACTTATGGAGGTTATTTGAAAGCTTAGTGGTTTAAAGTCCACTCAAGAGAAATTTGCTAAAACAACACATGTAACGTCTAATGCCCTTTTAGCCTCTTACCAGGTTTCTCATAGAACTGCTAAATGCAAGAATCCACACACAATTGCAGAAACACTGATTTCACCAGCAGCGATTAACATAGTATCAACAATGTTGGGTGACTCTTCTGTTGATAAGCCAGTGCTTCCAATGGACATAAAAAGCTGCCTACTTGATCATCTCATAATGTTGAAAGTTCATTTCGAGAAATACTTTTGCAGTGATACTGATGAATGTAATTGGATTAAAAATCCATTCGAAAATGCTCCTGGGCAATCATCTCTGAATGTAAATGAGCAAGAACAACTCATCGATCTTATTAGTGATACTTCATTAAAAAGTATTATTATTATTAGAGGGGGTGGGTTTCTCCATGCACTTAAGACCAGTTATTGGTCCATTATGCGTCCCCTTTAATTTCTACTGTCGGTACCTGATATTTCCCCCATCTACCAGAGGAATTGGAAACTACTTGGATGGGAAATTGTTACCAAATTTTGCTCAGAGGTCTCCTAGAGACATGAAGATCTTTTACGTGCCATAAATTTACGACATGGGACACACGGCTTAAAGTCCCTCCTGGAGGACTTGTTCCCCGAATTTTTCCGCCCTTAAAAATTCCACGACCTCTGCCGGGTTTGAACCCACATACCTTGAGTCATGAGGTGGGAACGTTACCCCTAGACTATGGAGGCCGCTTCATTGAAAAGTAAATTTTTAGGAATTGTCTTTGTTGGAGTTCTGGATACATATTGGCAAGGAATTCCCAACTTTGAGCCAAAAAGCATTGAAGATCCTGATTCCTTTCGCAATAACTTACTTATGCGAGACAGGCTTTGGCAGCTATAAAGTAAAAGTATCGCTCAAAGCTAAATATTGCTAAATAAGTTAGAGTGGCCATCTCTGATATTACACCACGTTTTGATAACTTTGTTCTCAAAAGCAGGCACATCCATCACACTGAACTTTGATATTTAAGTGTTTTTCTTTGCAGAAAAAAAATTAAATACTTGTTAGTCAAATATCGTTTCATTTGAATACATATTTTGGTCAATTGCAAGTGTTAAAACTAATTTTTATTGTAGGCCTAATATTGTGATACCTTATGCTACATGCCCTGCCCATCTCATTCTAATTATAGTTGGAGTACAAGTTATGAAGCTTTAATGTTCACCATATCAAATTGACTTGGGGCAGCTCAGTACAGCAACTAGGCAATGGGCTGGGCAATCAAAGCATCATGGATAATTTTCTGCAAGGAGCAAAAGATTTCTCTTGTCTACAGCACCCACATATGCTCTGGAGTCTATCTAGTATGTACTAGGAGCTCTTTCTGTAAGGGGCAAAGTTGACGGCTCATCTCCAGAAAATGCCAAGGTTAAGAATATGACAATATGAAACCCCCCCCCCCATGTTTTTTGGAAATGGGGCTTAAGTGTAGGGACTTTGCCACAAAACTTAACTTATATAGCAAGGTGGAGTAATTAAAATTGGAGAAGCCAACAGCTTATACAAATTTCCCATTTTATGGAACGTGAAGGTTCATTATCATGTAAATGTGTGTCACTGATTTATATCCTAGGACAGATGAATCCAGTACATAACCCCCATTCTAGTCCTCTAAGATCCATTTTAATATTACCATATAGGTATCTGTCCTTCTGGTTTTCCCACCAGAACCCTGTATGCATACCGCGTCTCTCCCATTCATGCTACACTACACTGATAAGAAGGGGGGGGGTCAGGAGAAAACTGAGTTCTACTAGAAAAGAACTTCGCTAAATTGTTAACATAGGAAGGGTTAAAACTTTAAAATAATACTAACATACAATATACTGTTTGCAAATGGAATGAAAAAAGTTCCTGAACATACCAGTTGAGTTTAAAATCTACTTATATCAAAACCTTACTAACGAAACAAATACCTATTAATAAAATATGAATGGATCATAAAAAATTACAATTTAAAAATCATGGAAGTGAAAACAAACAGTGCAGTTGTGCTTTCATTTATTCATGAAGGTATGTCACTGATCTCGTTCAAAAATTTCTCTTGTAACAATTTTTTCATAATGAGAACAAAGTGTTAATGAAGCGTCTATTGTGAACATGACACAGAGATGTACACATCACTTTGTGCAGCTGCTGGAGGGAGACACCTAGACACAATATTTTCTGTCTTTTATAAAACAGGACTGTGGAGTTTTAAATTATACCTTGCCTTCATCCAAACAGCAGAAAGTGCTGATGTCTGTGCATATCATAGGCATTTAGGGACAAAAATTTAGAAAAATGAATAAGGGGGTAGGCGAAATAAGGGCTAGATTTCTATGAAGTAAGACCTATCTGAAATCTAAATCTATTGATAACATAAAATAAAGGTATATATGTACACTTTGGCACTGTGTTATATTTTGCATGCTTCATACTACATTTCCTAAATTTGATTTTTAAAAGGATGAATACATTAGAACTGAAATTTCAAAATCATACCAACTTTTCCAATTAAAAACTTCACAGTAACAAAAGAACTCACAGAAATTCTGAAGAATTACATGTTCCTCATGTTGACTGGTATATTAACAAATAATATAAATATGAAATTGCCTAAAATTAGAAACATGTAAGTACAATTTAATATAATACAATGGACATCAGGCTCAAATATTATACAGCACTAAAATAAAGTATTAGTGGAAAGCAGCTTGGGAACTGTCACGAGTAATTCAAGCTTGAAAGACGTTACCATCTTGTTTATGTCACAATTATCACAGATGCAGAATGGATCAACTACTTTCCTCAAAATTTAACAGTGGAACTATCAGATCTGTCTATAATCTGACTACTGTTACAATTATAAACAATCTTCATACAATTCCTTTATATAGTAGAAGATAAATATTCTAAATTCAAGTGACCAGAATATGGAGAGGGAAATATGACGACACATCTTCTGTATCCAGCAAAATCAAAAAATCGCAGGTTGACCTCTGATACCCCAATCTCATTCCCATACCTTTATTAAGTCAGTCCAGCGATTTTAAAAGCTCTTCACAAACAAATTTCTGCAACCACATGATATAATGTGTGTACTCAAGTTTCACTTTCCTATACTGAATTTATGCATCACACAACAAAGGCTGCATTTACCCTAAATTTTAAGAGATCTAACCACCACTTTGATAATGTATGAGCTTCCATGTTTCAAGGACACAACTGGGTATGTGGATTTGATGGGAATATACCAGTGAGGATAGAACAAGCACACCTATCGCAAATTTGTATCATTTAAATAATGCTTTATACAATGTCGATATTACAACTTTTACGTTAGGAATCTAATTTTAAGTGCACTTTTTCCCATTGCATCCTTGGCAAATAGACTTTACACTGTCAGCACACTCAAAACAATGAAATAAGGATTTTAACAATACACAACATTCTTTCCCTCTGTATCTTCTGCTACAATGTTCTATCAACACAACGCGCTTTTAATAGTTGTACTGTGCTGCAAATGTACATCAGCACTGAAACACCTTCCGTTCATGCAGCAACAGTAAATTTCAGAAGACTGCAAAGGATGAAAAATGCACCACAGAAGAACTGTTTATTTATTTGACCACAAATGCATCCATGCACACACTGAAGTCACTGTAACCACTAACATCTTTGCATTAATAAATAAGGCCAAGCAGAGACTGATCCACTTGCAGGTATAAAATTTTCACTGCTATCAGCATCCTTCATCTCAGCTACCTGTACTTGGAAACAGTAATAATGAACAGAAACTATATACAACTAGTGTACATTACAATGAAATGAAGGACTCTGCTAGCTACGTAGTAAAATCAAAGGCTATACGCAGCACTGGTAAGATTGTTTATACTCTTTTTAGAAATGTAAACCACATTCTTTTAACTTTCAACTCAAATCCACTCCTACAATTCATTGCCTGGATCATTCATAATGCATGAATAATGTACAACATGTGCAGATCAGTGCAAATACCTTGAGCATTTTAAAATAAATTGTCAATCACAAACCAAAACAATTTATACAGTCCAGACCACTTCAAATCTTCCAGTATGGGTAAAACAAACTAGTTTCCACTGAATATGAATTGCTACAAATCTGACATATGTTACTGCTACTTCCCACACTGTACAGTCTCTTCATACATAATCTCCTCTTCCTAAGGAAACAGATATGCTGACATGACGACATAAATCCTGGTCCTCGCTGGAAGCTTACTAAAGAACTGCAAAACTAACAAACTTCTAGCCATGTATGTACAGCATAAATACTCTAGCAAGGCAAAATTCCTGTTATCACAATTTTCTTTATAAATAACCTTCATTTTGCTGTCTCAGGTCCCCTATACCCAAAATTCAACACTGTGACAAGTACTGACTCCATATTATTGTTTTACTTCCTACCCTATTTACACAACTCGGTGATGATACATCAATCAACATCCCTACAAACTGTTACCAATAATAATAATAATAATAATAATAATAATAAATGAACAGCAAATTCTAGACAGTGACTTAGCGACTAATATCGTCACCAGTTTCAGATGTCTAGGACATAAGTTGCTGAAGCCAGCTACATGACATGTGCAATGCTAATAACTCATCAGCTAAGGCACAAAGCATTGTATTACCAATGATTAACTAAGGTCAAAGTTCAGTCTTTACAAAAGAACTAGTCAATATTTACATCTTTTAACACTGTCAACAGCCTTCTAATATAAGTGTACTAGATTAATAACACAGTTAACACAAACGTATACGTCTCTTAACTTGGAAATTAAAAGATTCGTAACAGCCACTTTATTCTGTTACTACATAGTGACCTTATGTCAGTCAACAGACACGTGTTGGTGGACCTACTTACTGACAGATGCATACAAAACAGGCCAAGAATTGGAACTTCAGCAAGGTGACATTAATGAAACAGAAATAACATACCAGCAGAAGTAGAAAACATGGAGAATTCTGCTTGGTCAAACAAAGGATGTGGACTATGTACACTTTCCTGAAAATGGTGGATCCAATACAAGTGCCAGAAAGAAACGTTTAAATAACAAATGAAGCAAAACAATTTAATCTGGGGAATTTAACACTGTGCCTTCTGAGTTGTGACACCACGTAGTTGTATCAGTGGATACCAACATTTCGGAGAAATGTGCTGCCTCTGCCTTCAAGCCAGCAACTGACATGCCAGGGCTGTGCCACAATCTGAATATATGCTGCTGCAAAAAGCTGAAAACATGCAAATGGGAATCTTCACTTGTAGCACCATATGAAGAAAGAACATAGAAGTCGATTCTAAAGGGTTCTGATGATAGTGTGTTAACACTCAGAATTACTGGGGTTTGGGACTTTTCCCATTGTCTGGTGATTGAGGTTAGTTCTTTCTAAGGGACCCAACTGAGTAGGTGCCTTCTCCCCCTCACCAGAGGACAGAAACAGATCCAGTTTCCAAAATGTGTTTTCTAGTTTAAAGAATACAGAGGTTCTCCAAGCTACAACTGATAATTTCTACCACAAATGTTGCCTGCAAAACTTTAAACAACTAACATTATGAAGCATATAAATGCTTTAGCTCTCATTAAAGGTTGCGGGATTATCATATTGCAGTCAATCATTAAGAAGGGGAAAGAAATGGACAAAATAGAAACTGATAACCTGAACCGCGCCCTTCCCCTTCTCTCCTATAAATGCCACTCACGTACGAGAGCCGTGAAGGAGGAGGAAGCAGTCCATCGTTCCTGGCTCTATTGTTGTGTTCGCATGCTCCCCTAGATAAACGTGGGGTATCCAAGCTAGGTGGAGGAGCTACAATGACTCATTGGCTTCAGATAACAATAAATACAGATTTAATAAAAAAACAAATTACACAAAAATAACAATACATATTCGTGGCAGAAAAGAACACGGGTACAACACCCAATCTCAATTGCGAAGCAATCGCCCGTCGCTGCAATTTGGGTCGACAAACTATCTCACCCCAGTTTTGGAACTTCTGTTTGGGCATTAACAAGTTAGCCTACGACAAACACAATAATAATCCTGAAGGGAAATAAAATAATAACGCACATCGCAAGCGTTCAGCCATTACCTTGCCGGCCAGCCAGGTAAATCCCCCCCCCCGGCACTACAGCCCCAGTGGGCCTAGGCCTACCTCCATGAACTTCTCCGTATTAATTTCCGTTTTTCTAGATCTTACACATTTGGTAGGACTCCTTCGGTGGGTGATCAGCTTGTCGCAAGGCCTTAACCTGTACACAAACACAGAAAAACGCATGCGCACAAACTAAACATCAATGCCCTGAGTGGGATTCGAACCCACGATCCGTTTCCAAGCGAGCGAAGACAGTACATGCCTTAGACCGCTTGGCTACCGTGACCGGCTCCAGCCAGGTAATACCGAATGGAATTTAGAAATACCCCAGCCAAAACCAGAACTTTCAGCAACAAAGCCTGCTGGCTGGTAAGCGTCCTTCCAGGTCGACATCGTCTGAGAGACTGTTTTGTACGCCTATTCTCTTTCCGAGAATACGAGGGGGTATAGGGTCATGTAACATATGTCATCATACTTAGGAGTGGGGATGGAATCTGGAAATGGCAGCCGCCATGACATCACTCGTGAGCGAGCTGACCTATAGCACGGCTCAACCCAGTCTTCCATAAATACAGCACCACGACAGTCACACAACACACAAGTTACAATCAAACACCACCAACAAATTCCAAGAGACAGTAAGGAAATATCTTGACCAGGCAACAGAACTTCATGTTCAGAGAATGTGAATCAACTGAACATTATGAGATGCTGCACTGCGCATACTTGTGTGAGACAGATGGTACCTCTCGCAAACATCAGCATGTATGTCTTCAAGACTGTTACCCAGACCTAAACATTATCAAGTTAATGGCACCAAGAAATGCACAGCTGACAGAAGTACTCCATTCCAAATGCATGAAGTGATGAAAAGTTAATGTTCGCTGCTGAAGGGAACATGGTACTTCTACATATGAGAACATGTGAAACACATTTACGCAGGGCACATAACACTGCATATGAAGGCAAAGGAGCAGATGAATACTGCGATTATCAACCCCAAATAACTTTAGGTTCTTTCAACACTGGCACTTTGAGCAGTATGGGTGTTGGAGTTACATGCTCCTTGACACCTGTACAAATGTCAAATGCGAATAAACATTCTGTAATTAATAATGATATGCAACAACATGAACACAAACCACATTATGTTCATTTTTTAATAAAAGTACAACTGAAAACCCATCTTCCCATTCATTCTTATATCTGGTGAAGCCAAATATACCTTTCACAGGATTAAGTGTTGCCTGGATATGAAACAATGACATAGTGATGGAATGGAGGAGTTTGTAAATTATTGTGAGCACCATGCAAAAATAGCCTCCACAACCCCAAAAAAGTGAATTAGGCTATGAATAGCTTTGTGTCTTGTGTGCTTGCATCAAGACTTTCCAAAACACAGTTTTGGCGCACTCCCCAAAAGAAAGGGATACAAGAAATAACAAGTAATTTTCTTAAACATCACTATTATTTACAATCAAACTTGTCAATGTGACGCCAGAACACAATCTGTTAAGAGCTTATTAATACTGCAAACAGATGTGATTCACACTGCAGAAATGATTCTAAATATTTTAGAATTATCATGGGAACCCAAAAACCCCTCTGAGGACACCAGGGTGCCTTAGGCACCTGCAGTGACCCCTGAAGTAATGAATGACTTTTAACTACAGATACATCAGTTGCATAAATATTGTGGTGTAACAACAATAATACATCAGTGCATCGTGGTCATGTTGTGCATCAGACCTGTACCTACTCTACACTGCCTCCTCTCCTGCTACCAACACCTGCACTTCATATTTTACCTTCCCCAATTATTCTTTTGTTTCCTACCCTTTTGCAATGGCCAAGTCACCATAAAGTAACAGAACAGTTTTTTTAACTATAGAGCTTGAAAAAACTTTACTACACTATTATCCTCACTTACTCCACTGAACATCAAGTTGTAAATAAAAAACGTTAAATTTCCATCAAAAATACTGTCAATATTTGTCACAACTCTTACATTATCTCTGTACTTTTTAATCACAAATGACCACTAGTCAAGAAAACGTATGTCACACACAATCGTAAGAAATTCTAAAGGACACTACATACTTACAAAGGATTGGCCATTGAAGCACAACATACAAATTGTCAGCCTTCCAGCTCACTGATTATTGCCTTCAGATATTACAAGAATATACAAACTATTCACCAAAATTCTACATGATGTTCAAGCATCTTGAAATTAAGTGGTGTAACTACATTTCAAATGTTCAATGTGAACCAGAAATTCACTGATAACTTTGATCGACCACTCACCATATTTTGACATTTAATGTTCCAAGTTCAGATGAGAAAGCACAAAACTTATCTTGTTTTGTCAAGGGCAGGTGAAATATTTCCAATTGTGTCACAGCGGCGATAGTATAGTAAGTATGGGACCCGGGGTCCTCGTGGGCGCAGAACATTACTCTCCTGCACTGCCTTCACTACACTGTCGTCATATCGCACCCAACCTCCATATCCCACATGAAAAACATCCGTTATATAATGTCCTTTTGTGGCTTCTTTTCCATCATGGTAAACGACTGAAAAGAAACAATACATAACATGCTGAAGTTGTGGCAAACTCAAAGAGTAATGACAAAACTGCTGAGGTGCTATTCCTTCTATATGTTAGTCTTTATATCTGAAGTTTTTGGTGTTTTCTTTTAGGTCATTGGGTAGCCTGGGAAATCCATGCTGCTGGTCAGGTTGAGCCTGTTTGATGGTAGGCCCAGTGCAGGCCGCGACCCAAAATTGATACTACCCAGTCTTTGGTTAAAATTAATTTAAAATAATTCAATCTATGCATTACTTTCCAATTTCTCTGTTTTGTGGTTATATGGTATTATGCATGAAGTGATATTTGGTATTATAAGATATATCACCATGCCAGGGCAGTATATAAGAGGTTTTAGATACGTTTACCTTCTGAACCTGATTTCAAGCAATCATAATTCAATGTTCACTTCTTGTAATGAACCAAGTTTCATGTGTGAGCTGAAGTGCAATGTTATTGTTTCCAATGTTTATGAAGTTCATTAAATGTGATAAACAATTTTATTATGTAGGATCTGAGGTTCTCACAACAGTGGTTATGAAGAGTCCCGTCTTCTGGGATGTAATATAGTAGTCCACTGAAAGCCTGCCCAACTTTTGGAGGCACATGTTGCCTCCATCTTCAGGATCAAAGAATATGCCAAGAAAGAAACCAGCCTGAAGTAGGCAGCGAGCAAAATGTAGGCTGACACTACAGACTGCACAGAACTATATCCCAGGGAACGGAACTCTTCTGAACAATTTTATTACTTCAGTGCCCTTTAAGCAACAGCTGGAATGCATATTTCACTAGAATGGCATAATTATGATAAATTACATTCCATCCTTGTAAAAGTAAATACTAATACACATCTTTAATTTTAAACTGAACAACCCACACAATCCAGACAGAAACCAAGCAAAAAACCACCAGACGACATACCAAGCCTGGTGGCACAATACTGATGCAGTCCAACAAAAAAACGATATATTTAACATTGCCCAAGACATGAAGCAATCTCCAGGAGGTCAAGGACAGCACTGGTCTTAAAGCCCCGAGATGCCATTCGAATGTGGGTGTATTTCTCTCAATTGTTGGGCTATCTCCAAACTACAAAGCATCTCAACTCCCTCCCTCAGACTATACTCTTCAAATACATAATATTGTGTAAAATTTTCAATATTTGGCACTTCATCAAACCTGTTTCCCTCCTCCCTTGATGAAGCATAGACAACAAAGCCAAACCACAAAAAGGCCCAGAAATAAGCATAAGTGATGGGCCTGATCTGTATCAAAGTATCCAAACTCACCTGCAAATAACTTATACTGCCTCTGCTTCACTCCATACTTCTTGTTGGAGGACAGGAGCTCTGCAGAGAAAACAAACACACATGAAAACATCAAGTGACATTCACACACATGTACCTGAAGTGCAGTTAATTTTAAAAAACGATTAAGACAGTGGCTCATCACTATAAACCCCCAAAAAATAAAGAATTTACAAGTTGTTACTATATTATACACAGAATCCCAGTTACTAATATTTACTGGAAAATGCATAAACATAAACAGCCTATGCCTAGTTTAACCCAATGCTTTATGCCTCATTTGTTTTTGTAAAAGAAAACTGCAAGCTGAGACGCAATGTTCTCATGGCAGCATCAAGATTATGGTCTTATGAGTTGTGACACCATGACGTTTGGCAGAGGTATCAGCAAAGGAGAAGATCTGGTACCTCCATCTTCAGGGCAGACAGGAGATTCTTCTGTCCTAAAGACGAAATCAGTGAATTCCTCTGAAATATTGGTACATAACTACCAAACTATACAGCTTCCCATTCTTATTTCATTACCTAGACCAGTCCTGAGGCCCACCCAGCCTCATATCTATTTGGTACTAGGAATAAAGCAGCCGGAGCATGAAGCTGACCACTCACCTCCAATCAGTGCCATGGACAAGAATATTTGGCTCTATACATCCACTCTCGCACGTCTTCATGGCATAGTGCTCAAGCAACAACTTTACCTTATTGGTATGTTATCCCTGACAGTGTTGCCAAGGCTCCAAAAGGATGAAAACTATGTGGATTCCTGATTTCAAATTTCACCTTTCTAAATGCAGTCCCACAATGCTTTTCAATTTTGTAAAGGCTTGTACTCGTACAAAGGTCTAACTCCAAAACTATTGCAGGTGTATGTGTAAATTTTGCACCAAGGCTTCTTTAGAAAAACTACTGCTTAACTCCAAATTTCTTATTGTGACTCTTTAAATAAAGGAAATATTTACATATTTCTGAAAAATAAAGATTAATAAATGCCCAAAATTTTCCAAAGTCATTAATTTTATCTACTCAAATTTATCAAGAACTGGAACCCCAGGGAAATGTTAACTTTATTGATATCTACTAGTAAAATAAACGGAGCTAGAATAGCCCAATTGGTATAGAGACTGGCCATGGGCTGGACAACTGAGTGATCGGAGTTTGAGTCCAGGTAAGTTCAAGAATTTTCTTTTCCACATTGTCCAGACTGGCTCTGGGACCCATCAAGGCCCCTATCCAATGGGTACTAGGGACTCTTTCCTGGGGTGTAAAGAGGCCGGGGCGTGACAATGACCACACACCTCCAACTACTGTCAAGGTCAAGAATATGTGGATCTACACATCCACTACCCTGTATGTCTTCATAGCACAGTACTTAATTAGCTAAGCACAGGTCAACTTTACTACCTTTTACTAGTAGAATAAAAATAATGAACACTGATAGTGTACTTGAAACTTAATTTGGTTTTGTTTAATATGTTGTGGAATAACCATCTTCTGTGTTAACAGCAATTATACTATAAAGTGCAAGGCAGCTGCCTTCTTTTGTGATGAAGTAACTCCATTGTAAGACCGCGCCATAGCTCATGTGGTTAGTTTCTGGCTTCCCATCGTGGCAGCCAGGGTTCAATCCCGGGTCTGGTCAAGTGGGATTTGTGGTGGACAAAGTGGCGCTGGGGCAGGTTTTCTCTGAGTACTTTGGTTTCCCCTGCCAATCTTCATTACACCAACTGCTCCACAATCACCCTCACCTATCACCTCGGGCTGGTACAACAGGCCAGAAGTGGCCGCAGTACAAGAGACTTAGTCCCGCCCCACTAGCAATAAAAAAATAAAAGATGCCACTGTTATCCTTCTCATGGGCCTTGTTTCAATAACAATACTCTTGTTCCACAGAAATACATCCCCTAACAAGGAGAAGGCAAGGCAAGTGTTGGCTCGAGCTGGTCAACCTTGACAACTCTACCGATCATCTAGGAACATGTTAAGTATCACTGTATATAAACATTAACCACTGCCCAAAAATCATGCCAATTTTCAAGCTTGCAGAGCATACTTCTTGGTTACTTGCAACACCTGCTATTCATTGTAGGATGATACTGTCTCAGAACAACAAACATCTGAAGCCTAAATGAATCAAAGCTCCTATTAAACCCATGTGTTCACATGCCTGCTCAAAGAATATGAAAGAATTACACTGCACGGTACCAATTCTGAAGAGCATTTTTGATGCATACTATGAGTTTCTAATGCTTGTCTGTTCCGAAACTATGGCCTTGATATTGGCACAAGACCAACTCTCTGGAACACTCCAACAGGGCTCCTAACCTGAACAGCCAGAACAGCTGAGAGGGAAGGAGACACCGCTTGGGTAATCACTCTGCCACAGGCGTAACGCTGATACATTCACAATACAAATGTATCTGCTGACTCCATGTGGTAACAAAATGCTACAATATGTACTATACCATTATCTCTTACTTGTTAACACACAAGCAAAAATGCCATGTATTTTAGCCATGTGTGAGCCCTGACTTTTTAACAATGATGTGAGAACCTATGAAGAATTAAATGTTGATTTTTAAATCAACTCTGAGAATTTTCAGATAACTGCCTCTGCTTCATACATCAGCAGCATACTGGCTGGCAATGCTACCATGAATCAGAATACTACAGAAATAGTATATCAGTCACAATTGAGATTTCTTGGAATTCACATGACAGAAACCCTAAAATGGTGCGCTCATGCTCAGTTTCTAAAAGCAGCTATGCAAAGTAATTTATATGGTGAAAATATTAAAAGAAATAATGAGTCCATATATGATAAAAATTATTTATTTTTCGAATTTTGAGTCCTGTATGAGAAATGGTATCTTATTGTAGGGTGGGGATGGGGAAAGTAAAAGCATTTTTAAATGGCAAAAGTGGGTCCTTCGAGTGATAAGTAGTATTAGTAGCTGCACATCATGTAGACAAATTTTTAAAGATTACAATGTTTTTAACATTGCCTTCTCTGTATACTTGTATATTGGAGGTAACATGCTTTATCAAAAAATACAAGGCTTTTATGGCAATAAATTCAGACTTTCATAATTATAACACATGACGAAAATTAAATTTTCATGTACAGCACTGTAATACAGCTCTTTTTAAGAGGAGTGTGATAAATGTGGGAATTAGTTTGTATAATAAGGTCCCCAATCAAATAAAACAAAGGGAAAATTTTAACTCATTTAAAAGGGAATTAAAATCTTTTTTGCCGAAACATTCCTTGTATTCTCTAGATGAATTTATGTCTTTTGATTCATCAAGTGTGTAATTGTAATTAATTTGTTGTATTTGTGTAAAGACAATGAAATTAATGGTAACTAGATCTAGATAATATTATTCAGATGACAAACCCCCTATATTTGGGTGGTACAGTGCATACTGTAAAGCTATGCACGAAATTAGATGTAAAACTGACAATTGCCCTATCCAAATGGTTGTAATACCTGTATGTACGGATTGCTGAATGATAATAAAAATGAAATGAAATCAACTTGTCAACAAAATGTCTCTCTCTCCTTCTGACCATGGTCCTAATAAGATCTAAGAATTTGTGACGATGGTACATTGCTACAAGTATTATGTTTTCGGACATTATCCATCATCCGGAGATAGGGACTAGCTCTATCTACTGGACCCAACTGAGTATTCTTTGCCTGACGAGGACAGAATCCAGTCTCCAAAACAGTGTGTTTTGAAAATAAACAGTATGATGGATAATGTCCAAAAACATAATATGAGTACTTGTAACATGGTAATAGACTACACTTCTGTCAAATTACAGTTTACAAAAACTACACTGAAAGGATGTCTGACATCAACAGGGATAAGTAGGTAGTATGCCATGTTAAAATGGCTACTCTTGTAAATTGTGGTCAACAGTAGAGAAACTGGCCTACTACAATATATTCTCGTTCTCATCTCTTTTCTTCCAAATTTTTGTCTAGGTATTCTCACATGCCTAACATATATAAAATGAGTGAGTTATATTCCAGAAATTTTGTATTCTGTTTCGCATTTAGGACATCACTTCCTATCGCCACAATGCTATGAAGGTTCTCAAGGTCAAGGCAGCACACAATAGCCTTCATAACCCACAATTATGATGAAATACAGTGGGAAATGCACTGTCCCATCCGTAATGTACCAAAGCAGAAACTCAATCTAGCTGAACATTATAATTTCATCACACTTCATTCACAGCAACATATCCTGTGGAGTGTAAACGCTAGTATCCAATTCTACAAGTAACTCCAGAGAGATGCCTGAACTGCTTCAATACGACAGCATGCAATCATTACACTCATCATGCTCTTGGGCCCTCGCACATTGTGGAAGTGTGCGATACTGTAATTCCAAAGTCCATATTGCTTCCACCTTTAGGGTCAAACTGAGCAGGGTGAGAAACTGCTCATGGTTATGAGCTGGTGCCCAGTCTGTGAAAACAGGGGCAGTGGAAAGGGAAATATGACCAAAACAAGCTTCTTTAGGGGCCAATGAGTGCACCAAAAACCATCCCAAGTAGTCACCCAGTGAAGTGCTTACCATGTTGTTTAACCTGCCCTGCTTTGGGTCATACTGCTTCAACCTATGGCAGAGGAGCAATGGCCTTGCACCATGCCACAAGTAGATGTACTTACTTGGGTCCACTTTAAGGTCAATCGGAAATTCCACACACTTGACTATCTTGGATGCTCCATCCAGTTTGTAATCAAACCACTTCAGGTGCAAAAGAAGCACTAATGGCAGTTCTTCTAATGTTACTTGTTGCCATGCTTCTATTTCCTGATTAGTGCGTGAGCATGTAACTCCTTCCAGCTGGTCACGGCCAACAAGAATCTCCAGAGCATCCTTGACTGACTGCGCTTTCTGTTTGAAATGAGAGTCAACAAAAACAGCAGAATTTCAACAACACTGCTGGGTTGCTTGCACATACATTATGCGTCATATTACTATGATGGGCTCTGTGTACAGCCCTGCTGTCAGAGCACTGCATTTCTCAATACTAATGCCATCTCTCTCCCCCCACCCAGTTATAACATGGCTACTAGTCCTGTAGAAATGGCTCAAGATATCTTGTACAAAGACATATCAGGACTCCAACAAGTGGCTCTACACGGTGCCTGACGCTAATACAAATCCCTTATTTGCAGCTGAGTCCCTCACACTTAAATGAAATATATGCAATCCTATTGATCAAAACCACTGAAAATCATGTCATTCTAATTAACATATTCCCACAGCTGCAAGCTACCAACACTGGTCCTACTTCAACTGGCTGGTTGAATAATACTAGCAATAACACTAACTACTCTGACCAGATCTCTGGCTCCAAGTTCCCATATGGAACACACACCTGTAGCCTGAACAGAGAGATGTAATGTTTCCTATTTCCAATTTACTATGATATGTCCCTAAAGATCGTGAATGTATATAATCAAAATAAATATATTACTTTCACTATATCAATCAAGCACAAATATTTAAACAGGAACAACTGAACTGGTCTACACTTTTGGGGCATTCATATATACTGTGCACTCACAAGCTTCATTTACATTCTGCATAAATACCACCCCTTTAAGAGAATCTGAATGTTTTTTTCTAAAGTTCTTTCTGGGTCCTACGACATTTGGTGGTAGTGCTGCCACTTCCACAGACGTTCAGTCTTCACAACAATTTCACTTGCACAGTGCTACACCAGCCCCCCAAACATGATACTGTTAACTTATCCACACAATTTTTTGGCACCAACAAAGGCTTTTATTCAACTCACCTCGATATCCAGTTGTAATGTGAAGAATGGCTGCACATTATCTGTAGATTGATCACCTGCTCGCTGGACTCTTGACCGCAAGTGACCCCTGAAGATATCAGAAATTGGTGTCCGACCAAAGTCAGCACGACGAGTGATTGAGCCTTTGTTCTTTCGACCCATTACCTAAATCCATCATTCAACGATATTAACAGATTTTAAATTCACAAGGACAAGCTCTCCTCCTCTCATTCTCACACAAGCACACAGATCTGCCCCCCCCCTATTTATAAAGTCAGGAGGTAATTGTGGTCTGGTCACAGGAAATTTAATGAGAGTTAAAAAGCATATTATTTTACTGATAATTTAACACATTTACTCTTGCATCCAACCACTGGGCAGGTTAAGTATTCCCATATCTGTAACATTATACCTGAGTTGAACATACAGAAATATGTGCACACATTTCTCATTCAACTGCATTCACAGATGCCAGATTTGTGGACATTTCTTTGGCCTTGATGATATATTTCACAGACACTTCCCCTTTGTTGCTTCAATAAACACAATAAACATGTGGCTCAAATGTGTGTGTCCCTGTCCTGTAATGTAAACAAACACCTCACCATGACATGGCAAAGAGTTCAACAAACAGCATGCTCACTGTTTTATGGACATGGGGCGACTGTTCACTGTTTGTTCCTCCTAAAACAATGGTCTACCCTGACTTTTACGTGACATTTTGAGATGCTTGAGAGAAAGCAGAATTCTGATGCAAGCACAACTGGCTCCATCATAACAACGCGCCCACCCACAGTCCCTGAAAACCACAGAGTTTGTGATTAACAGCAACATGGTTATCATTTCCCCTCCTCCCCACTCCTTCCATCCTTTCAGAAGCTATACCAAAGAGTACTTGAGACCTGGGGTACAATCTGTGTTGTAGGCTCACTGGCTTGCACATACCGCCCCCCCCCACACGAGGAGACATCGGTACATAAGTACTTATGTCTTGGAGGAACCTGTCTCCACAGAAGAGTCACTCTTCTACCCAAAAGGAGAAGGGAGCAGATTTTTCTGAAACAATAATATCTACCAAACTATGTCACATTCCAGAAAAGCATAAACTCAAATCTTAATATTTTTATGAGCTGAACGGTAAATGGCAATGATAATATTGTGACATGACGCCTAAAAGCCGGAATACTCCATTGCTGGACAACTGCTTGCTAAAACATGTTTCCATGGAAACGGATAAAAACAGAATAACAGAGGAATTGTAAGACATGGTGACTTGCATTTGGTTTGCCCCAAAGTTATAAAAGAGTTAGTTCAGTTCATTTGCAAGCGAGCTGTCGTTCAGCATTCATTCTTAATGATTCATAAGTGGCCAATTTCGTAAATAAAAACCAAGTCAGTCACAGTTGGAAGAGAAGACACTCACAGTCCAGTAAGGAATGGAGCGAGTCTTAGACAGTCATTGTTTGTGAGCTGTTACAGGTGATTATAATTGTAAAGACATGCCAATAAATCCAATCATCCAATCCAGAACCCGTTATATTCGTCACACAAACCATGTGACAATATTATACCACCAAAAATGTCTTGTCTCTGAATTTCCTTTGGCTAAAATGTAATCACACAAATAGCCATACACATTTCAGGCTTACTGTTCCCACCACGAGCACACCATAGCAACACTTGACATTGACCACGGCCGGCTTATTTGGGTGGGGTATGAACAAAAAGAGGTTTCAATTAAACTTCCATCTACAAGGCAATCTTACCGTCCACTCTGTGTCATCTTCGTCCAGACTTTGAGCTGAAGTATCACCATTCGTAGCAATATCACCATTGCTGAGAGTTGATTTTACTGACGGTTCTTCTACAAGTTTGATGAGCTGTGAACACAGTGGCAGGGAGCAAATATGAGGAACACTACTGTAAAAGGAAACAAGATGTTCTGTCAGACACCACTGCAAGGGCTCTGTTCTTGATAAGAGTAAATGAAATCCACTAGGAACTGAGGTTCGTCATACCTACATACGCAATCATACAGAAGAAAAGGGCATATGACTGAACTTCCCATCGGTGTATGCATATCGGAAATATATTAAAAATAATGGTTACTAACTTTCTAATGATGGCATAATGGACTATATCACTGATGACATACACTCATTCCCATAGTAGATGGGGTAACACAATCTGTCTCAGTACACTGTATTTCCTCACATGATTCAAGCATTTCTTAATGATTATTTGTTTCTGAAAGTTACTTTGTATAAGATTTGTAAATATTAATTTTTCAATTTATTGTCGCACGTATTAGTGACTAATAACGTGGGTTTGGGATTGGACGAATAGGTTTATTTCCTTCTTATACACACCATCAGTAATCACATGAAATTATAGTGCACTCACTACTTCTACACTTTATAATTCACCACTACGCACATTAGTCCTTTCCTGGTAATGTAATTAAAACACAGGAACTATAACGGTCTCACTAAATTTCACACTCAAAATATTACACGTTAAGTCATCACAGGCCAACTTTTAATTCTTCTTCAAACTATGATCTTCCCATGGCTATTCCCTACCGAAAACTGTCTGACTTGTAGTACTGACTGTCTTCAACATAACTCCTCTGCATGGACTCCATAGAAAACACCAGTTTCTTTTGTTAATGATGCGTGTTTACAGCTTCATTGACTGGCAACAGATGTCCTATTGTTCCATGCATTTGTTGGCACAGACCACATAAAAAAGTTTCCCCTATATTGTTGTCACGTTCTTAAGGGGAGGTGTTTACCTGTCACATAGAAAGGGCAGTTCATAAGAATGTTTATGGATATTCCTCTATTGTTATGGAAACCACCCATATGTCACACTGAGGCTAGTTAACCGGAAGCTTCATAATATCAAGGAAAAATTAGTTCTGTGCAAACAAAGCACAACTGCCATTTTCTCCTACACAATTTGTACCAGATAGTTTGAGCACAACAATGTTATTTAAATTTTCCCACACTAGACACATTTTCAATCACTACTCATTACATTATATAAACAGGTTACAATAAAGCAAGTAACAAAACACATTTCACAGGAAGAGCCACATATATTATCAGATTACCTTCATTACACCTTCCTGACCATCTCAAAAGTTCATGCGGATGGAGCAAGGCAGCAACCAGCAAATGTTGTTTTGGACTTTCTACTTGCGTTATCACCTCACACCGATTTCCTGATTGTTTTGCACATGCACACAACTAGCTCCAAAACACTCCTGATTTAAACCAATGCAATTACTTTCTTTGGGGATTTCTTAAGGAAAAGATTTTTCCAAAACAGCAGCAAACAATAATGGAATTAAGAGCACCAATCACTCAGGCCTGCAACGAGATAACTGAGGATACGTGCTGTCAGGTAATCAACATTACAGTTCATGTTGAAGTTACCAGGCGCAATGGTGGTCATACTAAACACTTGATTCATAAAGGATAAATCTCCATGCAATGGTCTTCCTTTTTGTATGTTAGTTTATAGTATTGCAATCAAAATATAGATTTTATTAATAGATCAAATACTGGATCATTTCGTGTACCACCCTGTATAAGACTGGCGAAAATGTCTATGTGAAGAACAAGACAATCAGCATTACAACAGACACAGTGAATACAGCAGATTTGAATATCTGATCAGTGGGCATATTTATGCCTAAGAAGCAATACATGACAACAGCTATTTAATCTGACTGAAGGACTGTAGATTTGTGTAAAAATGTTGTGGGCTAAATACTGGCAAATAATGACTTCACATTTACATTAAGACAAACATATGAGATTGGACTCAGGTGGAAACTATTCAGTCTGGCCCAACTGACACAGTCCCTATCTCTAGAGTATGCGTTTTAAACAAAAACAGGATGATGGATAATGTCCAGAAACACAATAATTTTATTAATATACTGTCACAAAATTTTAGAGCTTATTATCGACATTTACAAACAAATACTTTTCTTGGCCAAAATGATTCATCCAAATAAACTGTTCCCAGCACTTTTGTTAGTGAGTGCACTGGCTGGTGTGTGTAATACAGCATTACTGCAAAGTCATACTTTTTCATTTGCTTCAGTATTTCCAAACAAACTCAACACATTGTCATTCAATAAGAAGATACAACTCTTCCCATACAGAGGCAAGTTTCATCGCAGGAGTCGATGGCCTATAATTTTGAGCTACATGCTGCCAAACTATTGGAAGATCAAAATGCATGAGAATTTTACCCATAATTCCACAGTTCCTTATACAAGGAAAGTCTAATATAAGCTTTCTCTATTTTAAATGGGAGTAAACCTCAAATGAGGGTTTTGGAAAACAGAAGCTAATTAATCATTAAACTCACATTCCACAATTTAATTTCATGACACAGTTGGATTCCTTTCCATTTCCCGAATATTTTTAACTTTCTCATCTATTGTTAACATCCTTCTTTTCAATGCCATGGTCATTCATTACTTTAAAATAACTTCCAAAGAAAATCTGACATTCGAATACAACATGAAAAGAACTGCTACCAACACACAGGGTGAACAAAGCATGGGCAGACAGACATGCTGCGTACCACAGATTAGTAATCTTACTGATCTGTGCACATTGTGTTATGTCATGCAAATAATGACCTTCAGATATGCAAAGGTGGTCGCATGCATGTTGGAATACATCATCATTCTGGAAACGTTTAGTTAGCCTTCTGCCAACAACCTCTCAACAGCTGGAACTTGTACATTACCCCCAAACTAAAAGATAATACAGCACTCTCCCAACCTGTTAGGATATCACTTCCCACGCAGAGTTTGTCGCTAAGTTCTATATGTGTAGCAATGACTCAATACTTTGGCCTTTGCATTGTACACTACCACATTTTTACCTATCAAATTATTCAAAACTAGTGGCTTCACATGTTAAAGTTGATAACGTGGAGGATTTGATTAGAACAGTCTGTAACTTCTCAAGTTCTCATTCCTGTGTGACACGAATATGGATGATAAGAAATACGCAGAGCAGTGACTGTCTCTCACTGCTCTTCAGTAACAGATATTTCGTAGTGCCTTCTTCACGTCATGTTCTGACAACTTTCAGTAATACCTATGAAACAGACGAGCTTGCAAATTAAACCATAACTTTGTGGACATGCAGGCAACAGCTTGTCATTAGTTTTGAGCCAATTTCAATGTTCCTTTGCATTTAAAAGGGAAATGAAGTTTGATTTCTGGAGGATACAACAAAGGCACCTCATTACTGAAAATAAAAATAAAAAATTAATTTCATATAGCAACCAGTTAGGTGAATCACATACTTGTGTTACAAGTACCAAGGTTTCTACATGTAAAGTTCTCAAGTACAAGCTGTAACATTTACCTCAAGCATTTCATCGTTAAGTGCATTCAGGAGACATCCAAGGAACTCCTCGGCATCTTCTTGCCTTCCTTCTACTTTAAAGGTGTCACTTCGAATACTGTTCAACATCTTGTAGATGTAACTAGGCTCAAATGGGGCTCCACACTGAACTTCAATACTGCCATCATCCTTGCGCAGAGCCTTCTCTTTACGATCCTTTAGACGAGATGTTGGGGACAGAGGCACAAATTCATTGACAAACTGGACCCTACAAAAGAAAGAAACATTTTATAGCAAACATCCATTCAAATGAGCGGTTATTACTACAGAATACGCACATTATTAATGTATGTTACAATTCTTGCAAACAATGACATAAAATTAAAAATTATCCTTATCTCTGTGGTAGTGAAAATTCAGATTTAAACTCTATGTACTGTCCTTTGATTCAAATTTCAGATTTCAGAGTGAATAATACAAAACTCTTAACAACCAAATTTGAATTTGGTTACTGTTAAACCTTTCAGATATAGTATACAAAAAACTGTAAGACAGCTAACAAATTACATTATTAGATGTAGCCTACTTTCCTTATTAAAAAAAGTTTATGAGATCACCATCCTGTCTTTGTGTCCCCCTACTGTTGCTAGACAAATGCTCCATCGCTATTTTGTAAATATAGCACAGTGCCTGACAATTTAAATAAATGATATATTTTCTCAAATACTCCATTCAACATAAAGAAGTAGCAAAAAATTTTGGTGCATGGCTTATGCCTGATGAGAACAACCAACAACACTTATTCCAAACTTCTTCGGTATGATGTGTTCGCATATTTTGATCAATAAGCAAAATGTTTGTTCATACTTATTCTGCAGTTTTCCAATAAAGATTACCTTTCGTCCATAATGCCCTAATGATTTGTTTTCAGTATATTAGTGAGATGTGACTAGTGTGGTTGAAATTTGTAAAAATTATCTCTAGTTTTTGGCCCCATTACTGTGGCCACCACCAACCAAGCTGATGCAACAGTAACAGTCCTGACTTGTATTCAGCAGCTAGTTCTAGTCTTGGTTATGATATCAACTATCCCAACACAGTTTTCTTAGTTCCCTCCATGCCTCAATGCAAATTCCAGAAGAGTACCTTAAACTAGGCCATGGCTGCTTCCACCTACATCCCCTCCAATTCATTATCCTCTATCAATCTGCTTCCACCTATATCCCCTCCAATTCATTATCCTTTATCAATCATCTGATGCTATACAGCCTCACTTACTGACAGCATCATTAAATAAACAACAAACACTGGGGCTGGAAGAATAATATTCCTATTACTCACAGCACAAACTGCAGCCTTTCTAGAACTTTCTGTTGCCAAACTGTCTCCAAATTTAGTTCAAATGGAGCAAATCACATAATATTGTGGCATATTTGCTCAAAGCAAGAATTGTGGAGGCAGAGAAACAGCTGTTGCTAGGTAATGGTCCGCACACACCAAGCACAGGAATATGTCATGTACACTGTGACGTCATGCAACAGCAGAGGAGGTGAATCATTAACATGAAAATAAAGGTGGTAAGGTGGTAAAGGTGGTATTTTTTGAGACTTTCATAAATGTTACTACTATAGATACATTTAGTGTATCCTGTACTGCACTTCTGGAATGGTGGCTCTGATAAAATGTGGTATTCATGTAAATATTAAACATTAAGACTGTGCCATGGCAAAAGAGATCTGCAAATTACATAAACAAGCCGGGGTGCATGAACAAATTCAAACTGATTTGTTTATGGATGTGTTATACACACATGGAAATGAGGATCTGCTGTTTTGATAAATATGATACAGTCGGAAACAAGCATAGTGCAAGAAAACTTGACACTGTCTACTGAATTTAAAGTCAGCAACAGCTGGGTTTGACAGTTCATGATATGCTTTATTGGTTGTATGTTGAATTCATTCATCGATGCAATGCATGTTTCAACGAGTTGGAGGTCACCCTTTTCCAATGCTAATGTAGCTATCTCCCACAGGTAGAATACATGTATCAGATCTGTTAAACAAGGGGATTTCTCAATTAAAACATGGCTGCAGCCCCTGTAGTATCAAGACATTTACAATTCTTATTCCCGAATGATACAACTTAACCTTTACGTGGATGACTATTTCCCAAACGCTACTGGAGCAACATGAAGGTGACCCTTCTTTCAGATGTGAATGAGACAGCAACACAATCATGAAGCTCCAGATTCAATGGCACTGGGGAATAAATGACTCCAGTTCAAACTACTGGAATGCAGAAGTAGCACTGTTCAGCCATCCCAATAATCACTGCTGACAGCCATAAATTGCATTCTTCTTCCCTGCATCCCCCCCTACTAGTTCCCATCCAAAGGCAACAATTAACCCCTCTGCCAAGACACCATACACACCATCTTCCAAACAAAGTTGTTTTACTTGCTGTTACTTCATGCAGTTTCATTAAGCCATTCTTCTGTGTAACAAGTGTGATGCGTATAACCACTGATGGGCAACAGATCAGTAAAAATATTCCTGAAGCTACATTCTCAACAATAGAAGGACATCTGTTGCTGGGTAATGGGTCAATGAACATACATTCTTGATAATACGTGACACGTGTTTTCTGTGGGGTCCATGCCGGGGAATTACAAGAGGGCACAGTGCAAGAGTACAACAGAGTATGAGAATGGAATGTGTTCTAGTGATTTGTGAAGTGGGTAAATTAGTGATAGCACTATAATTGATTGTGATTAAGAGAGATTGTAAATGGTGGTAATAAATCCAATCATCCCACCCAGAACCCCAGACACGACAATATAATTACCATTACCAAAATATTTGTACTGATTATATAAAAAATAACAGAGCAATATTTCCTAATCAACTGAGATACAGATTGATTATCTTGCCAAAAAAAAAATATTCTGATAAGCCGAACACCCAAGTTTTAAGATAGATAGATCTGGAAACACAGTACGACTCATATTCGACACATTATATAATTCGCAACATTAATTTCCAAGTTTAACTGGTCATGTGATGCAGTCATGGGAGATCTGGCAAAAGTAACAGAGCTGTGACATGCAAGATTCTTTCATTCTTGTGAAGTGATGCCAATTCAATATTTATCAGATACAACAAAGAGAATGATAAATGTGTAGCATTAAAGAAATGCATATTACTGCAGCCCATGCAAAGTGGCTGAAGAAAGTCAAAGAACTATCATTTGTAAATTCAACTTCTAATTGGCCATTATAAAGAAAACTGTGCCTATGATATTTTGTCTGGGAAAGTAATAAAATTATTTTTATTCTTAAAAAACCACAACGTTTCAGAGACTGGATCTGTCTCCATCCTTAGGTGGATGGGGCAGGATAGACCTACTCAGTTGGGCCCATTACATGCATCTAGTTTCAATCACTGGACGTTGTGTTTTTTTGTCTTATATATACCAGACAATGAATTGAGTCCAAAATAAGCCTAATAGTTCTGTACAGCATAAACCATTGTCAGAATCCTTTAAAGTCTATAAAACACACAGTTTACTAGGAAAAATTAATGTAATAAGGAAAATGTGGGCAGTACAAATGTTACACATCTTGAACTAGCAAACGAAGTGAACATGTCAGTAACAACATTAAATGGTATCACTGCAAAAGAAGCAAAAAAGCTATTTACATGAATCAGAGATGTGTAAAAAAAGTTAAAAGATCAAGAGTGGGGAAGTATTAACAAAGTAGAGGAGAGATTGGCATGGTACAAGAAAACGGTTGCTGTAGAGCAGTGGTTCCCAACCTGTGGTCCGCGGGATAGTTTATTTTCATTAAACTTTATCTTATCATGTTCCTCCCACCTGGGATATTTGCAGTGTATATCTCTGGCTCTTGAGGCCCATGGTTGAAGTAAAATTTAACGGGACTGTTGATACCGTGACGGTACCTTCCCTTTGTAAAGCAGAGGTGAATAACCAACGATTTGTGTAGCTTTTTCCAAGGACATTTTCTTTTGGTCGACCCATTGCATCTCGAACCCGTGTTTCAGGGTGGACTGTTGTCCTTATCTGCTGTCTAACCAGTCTCCCCCCCCCCAAAATCCATCCCTCTTTCCTTGGGAATGAAGCTGGGACCATTGACCACGTTTCTAATTAATTTCAGTGGCAGAGTGAACAACCCGTGTGTCTTTAGTTTTAGTGCAGTGGATTTTTATAATATTATACAAGTGTGTTTTTCTCGGTTTAATATTCAGTTTTTCTGCTCTTGTTCAAGTACATGTAATTGACTTCACAACGAAACTTCTGGTTTTCAGTTTGTTCACGATCTTATTTAGATATGGATCGGTGGTTAAAGTGTGGATCGTTGATTAGGTGAGTGTTAAATTCATAATATTAGGCCTAATTGACATGTTCGTGATCTTCCGAATAAGCTCCATTTATAAAAGTATTTTATTGTCAGAAATGACACATTTAGTGTTGTAAAATTGTAAGTAAAATTTTCCATTTTGGGTTTTAAGGGGGGCGTGGTCAATTAACATTCGGTACAGGGGGTCCGCGGCATCAAAAAGGTTGGGAAACACTGCTCTAGGATATAATGCCAATTTCNCTGTAGAGTACCCACTGATTGAACTGCTATATGTGCTAAGGCACTGGATTTTTGCACACACAAGAATAATGTCACACTCGAGTGCAGAATAAAAAATTAAAGGTAACTATGCTCAAACATAGAGCAATATCGATGGCATAAATATTATGAAACAAATAGACTCTGTAGCTCTCAACTGTGTGGCAAACTGTTCTTAGAATAGTAAGTGACCTCTTCTTGCTCCTTGACTCACAGTTCAACATGAAAACAGATTGAATTAGGAGGGGGAGGCGGCATTCACTGACAGAGAAAAAGAATATACAGATTGAGGCATGGCAGTACTTGACATTGTTATTATGCAGACCTCTACTTAAAATATAAGCTGTGAGCTGCTGAACAGTGAGATTTCTATGTTGATACAGTAGGTAGCTACAATGTTACGTGTATCACAGCTGGTTTCCTGGTGATGCAAGCAGGATGATTCATGTACTACAGACAGATTTAAAGAATTAAAGGCAACTACCACATTTCAGAACCATTACTTTTGTCATTTCTCTGCTACCATAATAGTTCTGTTAGTCACAATATATGACAGAGCTTATATAATGAGCCTCAAGAATACAGAGAATCATGCTTACATGCTGTCAATGATGGGCGTACTTGATTTGCCAGAACGCCTTGAGGGCAACGATAAAGCCTTCATGAGATTGTAGAAGGGTGGGCATGCCAAGAGTGCTTGAAGTGTCGAGTTGATGTAACACCAATTGCTTTTATTTGTCAAACCACGAGGCTGAAGGCTGAGAGCCCTGTGTTCCAGCTGGTACTTCAACAGAAGTTCTGTAAAGAAATCAGTACAAACATTTTAAACTTGGGGAGGGATTGTAATACATACACAACTATATATACATATAATAAATAGAAAAAATACATTTCCACAAATATGAATCAAGCAGACTGAGGAGTGGGAAACCTATTATGAAATACAATGAAAAGTTCTACTGTCTGGGATGTAACACTGTGTACCAAGCTTCATGCTGGTTTTTTGCTTGGCTTACTCTGACTGTGAAAGAGTTGACATTTTCTTCTGAAACAATGGCTGATTTTCAAGAGGCTACAAGGAGTCAAATCCCAGAAGATAAAATTCTTCACAACCACTGGTGTAACCTCAAATCATACATGAAATACAACGAATGCCAAACAATTTCTGGCAAATCAATGCTGAACCAAATTATCAATGTGGAACTCAACTCTGCTCTAGCAACATGATTGCAGATTTTGTATCTTCAAGAGGTGGGCCTCTCAGAGCTGATGAGTCACACACCATCTATTATTGTGTGACTGCACTTTAAACATTACCATATCTCTCTAAAAATGCTGGCTTCCTACTGGATGTCATGCAATGAAGTTTCAAATGTGTGGTCCATGGGATGGCTGTTTCTTATGCAGGGCCAAGTCAGTAAAACAATTAGGTATGTGAACAGCAAACAATTTGTCTTTATGACAGGTGCAGTTACTTGTGATTATGCAGTTCCGGTTATAACTGCTGCATACAGTTACACTGTACCATACACACAATGAACAAAGTATAATTATTATGACCAACTATTCTTTCACTTTAATCCCCATCCATGTCACATACTAACTGGATCAACTTGGGGTACTTGCATTAAAACGACCACAGATGACGAGACTGGCTCTTTGGTAACCTACCAGTAGAGCATTTCTGCCATTAGATATTATCAAGGCAGAATGAGCTCTCTAACTACATATTTCCCTTCTTGTCTGATGGTCATCTGATTAAATTATTGTGGATTTTCTGTACAACTGCATTTACAACCAAGCAGTGGTGGAACTTTTACCATGGGGGTCTATGGTACAGTCTGCCAGGTGACGGGTCAAATGTCTTCTTCAGAATACATAATGCACACACGCACACAGAGCTAACAACAGAAATCATAAGCTTATTTTCCTACAGTACAGACTTCTAGATACAGAAATGCTATGTACGTGGTGTGTTCAAAAAGTATCGAGCCTTTTTTTTCCCCGCATAAACCAATGAAGCGCAGGAGGCTCCCTTCAGTGGAGATGTGGAGGGGACATTCATACGCAGTCGTGAACTTTTTCCCGCCTGCAGAAAGCGTCAGTCGCTGGCAGTCAGCCTATGAGTGAGGACGTGTAGTGAGCGCTCATCAGATTCCAGTAAGGTGTAAAATGAAGGAACAATTTGGGCAACGATATTGCATCAAATTTAGCCAGAAGCTTGGCGATACCCAAGTGGAAACCATTCACAAGATTCAACAGGCTTTCGGTGACGATGCCATGAGCAACTCATGGATAAAGGAGTGGTACAACCACTTCAAAGATGGCCGCACATCAGTGGACAGCGAACCGTGTTCAGGCAGACCCTCAACAAGCCGAAATGAGAATGTCATTGAGCAAGTGCAGACTTTGGTCATGGAGGACCGCCGTATCACAGTCCGAGAACTTGCGAACGAGATAGGGGTAGGCACTGGATTGGTACATTCAATTTTGACCGAGGATTTGGGAATGAGGAGTGTGTCCACGAAATTCGTACCGAAATTGTGCATCTGATTCAGACTTTCGTCGCCAAACACAACATCCCTGTGGTTCGTCAGGCTCCCTACTCCCCTGACATGGCTCTGTGTGACTTTTGGCTATTTCCCAAGCTGAAAATGCTGCTGAAAGGAACCCGATTTGAGTCAAGAGAAGACATCATGCAGAATGCGACGGCCCGGCTGATCACTGTTCCAAAAGACACGTTCCAGAAGTGTTTCCAACAATGGCGGAAGCGCTAGGAGAAGTGTGTGCATTATTAACAAGGAGACTACTTTGAAGGGGATTAGGGTTTTGTACCTACAAATCAATAAATGTATTTCTGCCGACCAAAGGTTCGATACTTTTTGAACACACTACATAGATTACCAGCTTTTTGGGATTTGACAACATGTAGCCTAGTACATGGGTACCAATGTTATGAAGAATTCCCCTATCACATGTTTAACTGTAGTCATGGGAATGTGTTTACTGTGTGGGATGTCGATGTTCCAAGAGACAACCACGTAAAATTATAACAGGTGCATATATTATTTATAAATGTACAGGATGGCTGGGAAGCCGTTTCGATATATAAGTATTATTCACAAGATTGCTGGCCATGAAAAGGGGCACTGTTCAACCGTATGTTATTCACAAGATTTGCTTGCTGGCCTTGAAAGGGGCCGTTTGTTCAACCGTGCGCGCTAGTAGGGTTTGCTGCTTTGTAGCAGCCCAAGTCTTCTTTACGGCTGTTTGGTGTGGTCTGGTTGGCTGCTAATGTGGTGGTGCATGCACCAGTAGGATCAGCAGCCTATGGTGCCTGTTGTCTTCGTGCTGTTGCTGGACAGTTATGGCAGCGGGTGCTTCGTGATGTCAGTTGTGAACAGCAGACTGAAGAGGACTGACAGTAGCCAGTTTTGAGCTCCGCCTTTTTATACCATGCTTGCTGGGCAGAGTTAGCGATGCAGCTGCGATTGTGAGCACTGACTGGCCAGCACCCGTGTTGATCTCCAGAGGGCCAGACAGCGAGTGCTGTATAAATATGAGACTGACTGACCGTTGGCCACAATGTGACTTGATATGTCCTGGGAGTAAGAACTGTCTGGTTGACTGAAAGGAAAGGAGCTGTCTGTCTGTGTGACTGAAGGACTAGTCTAAGTTCCCACAACTGAGTCGTTGCCCAGAAATGGGTCTGATATAATCACCCATCTAATGATCTTTGCATAGCAAGGGTTCTACATGCTACATTGTCCAGAGGTAATGACAATTTGTACTCCATCAATGAAATGCATTGTAGTCAATGGGTTAACACACTAACCTTGTGAGCACTGTGAGTTTAGAATCCCAGAAGTGAATTTTATTCATTACTCACAACTGTAGATATATTGTGGATAAGAATTACTGTTAATTTCCTTTTGAAAATAACTTATTACAATAAATGACACAAATTCCGTCCCAAGTGCAAACAATATATATTATACGTCTTTGATCTTGTTCTTTCTACAGTACATGTTTCGGCCTCTATCGGCCATCATCAGGTGTATACTCTTAACGTTGCTGCCACACTGAACCCGGTCTAAAATTTAACATTTAAAAACACAATGTCGCATTCTTCGTATTATCAACATCTACACCGTTGATATGTGTCTGGTATGTAGATTATGTTGCACACGTCAAATTTGATATTCTTCTAGTAGCACTTTAAAAATCTTTAGTTATGATGTTTTTANCACCTGATGATGGCCGATAGAGGCCGAAACATGTAGTGTAGAAAGAACAAGATCAAAGACATATAATATATATTGTTTGCACTTGGGACGGAATTTGTGTCATTTATTGTGTAGAGTGCAACAGGATGCTTAAATATAATTTTATAACTTATTACACTGATTATATTATTTTTATCAGACATAACCCTATGTTCTGTAGTTGCAATCTCTGTAATGTCTGACTTTAAAACAATATTACATTTACAATTTGTACAATGTTTATCATATATCTTCATACTGAATTTTATATTCCATGGGTCCAACAATTCATTAGTTATTGGTTCATATGCATCCCCAAATAACATTTTTCAGATTATTTTGTGCTATTATAATCTAAAAAAATGAGGTCACATACTTTTTGAAAACCAATTATCAGAGAATTTTTAGACCCTACTGTTGCACCCACTTTACAAATCTGTACATATGTCTTGTTAGTATTTATATTATGAAATTTGCTGCACAACACATTTTGTGAAATTTGGACGATTGGTCCGAAACTGAAAGGAAGACACACAAAGCAGCAGCTTACCTTTCCTTTGCCTTAAAGGTGGAAAGTAAGCTACAAATTAACTATAAACAGTGCCAGCATAATGCTTTCCCAATATTACTATGTCTGAAAGAGTTCAGTTGCTGTAATTATGTGATAAACTGTCTTAAATATTGTGACAAGCAAACTATACCGACCAAGCCTAACGCCCTACATGTAACAATATTAACCCGTTGCCGTGGTTCGTCGTGTATGTTTCGTCAGGGATTTAAATCGTCTGGGGGGGTTCGACGTGTATGTTTCGTTCAGCTGCACACCTATGTTATAACGCCCATAATAATTGATGGTTTTGCTGTAGATTGTTAGATTTTTCGCTGGCCTGTTGTCAGTAGAACAGAGTATAAATAAGACACGACTTTATCTGCGCCAAGACATCGTTACATATGCCTGTCTTGCAGCAAAGTTCCTGTGGTTCTGGCGAGCGGTTTCTAGCTGTACTGTNTGAAAGTTTCATCCTTCAAGGCGTACCATTCACTGCTCAAATACTAAACAACCTGCACCCATGGCCGAGATACAGGGCTCCCATATTATAAGGTAAGGTTATAAAACCACAATTTAAGATCATTTTAGTGAAAGTTTCATGTTCCTATCTCATAGAATTTAAGAACAATGATGAATAAATAATTTTCGAGCAAAATTTAAATGGTCGGCTGAATATATTACCGCAGGAGACGCAGCCGCGGAATTTAAATGACCGCGCGAAAGGGTTAAACACCATTTTATCACCTTTAGAATATACCACCTTTCAAATAAAACCACAAGTAGTTGATCAAAAAACTCTATTCAGTTTGAGGAAAATTTCTCACTTCATGTTTTCTATTGAGGAAAATAAATCTGAACCCTAAAACCCTTAAATGGAAGCTGCATCTCACAGTGCAAATGTCAAGCCACAGCAAACTTCCAGTTTAAGGCACCTAAGTTTACACTGCATCACATATACCTGGGAAATCCTGAACATGAAATTCAGCTTCTATTAATAACCAAAAAACAAGACAGAATGCACATGTTATCCACTTACGACTGTCGTGAATTCTTACTTTTGGCATAAAACCAAGGACTGGTTGCAGATGAAGAAAATCCACCCACCTCCTAGTTGGTACAGATGTGGGTCATCAGTTGAAGACGGAGAAGGCAACTGGGGGTAACTGTTAACATTGTCCCCACATGCAGTGCTGACTCCAGGACTTACAGCAGGTGACACTGACTGCAATGCTGAAGATCCCTCAGAAACCCTGTTAGAGCCATCAGTAGTAACAGGAACGGCATTCTGGAATGGTCTTACACATGCTAGGGGCTTGTTGCCAGGTGAAGTCCTATTGGCTGGAGATCCTGTAGTCATCATCATTCCTCCATCAATTGTGGTACTTGGCTTGAACAAACTTGCCCACGATTTCTGACTAGTCGTCACCACTGCAGTGCTTGGCACATCAATGGGATGACTAGATGGAGGTAGTGCTGTTATGCTTTGTCCACTATCCTGATGTACATCAATGGAAGTACTTACAGGTTGGGGGCTGCTAGGAAAGGATGCTGCAACACTGTCTACTAGTAGTCCATGTGTTGATTTTGGAGCCGTTACTGGTGACATAACAACATCAACATGAGGTAAAGGAGATTTTACATCTGTAATATGACACTTTTCCACAGATGAGGGAAGATTAACGTCACTAACGACTGCTGTCTCTCTCTTTGAATCTGAATCACTCACTACTACACTTTCATTAGCACTCATCTCACTAACATTTATCCTGGATGCCGGAATAAATGATACATTACTGTCAACAAAAACATCATGACTTGAAACTGTAACTTTTTCTGGCACAAATTCAGGTGGCAGATCGTTTTTGATGAAACTGTTATGACCCGTTGAATGTGGCAAGTTCCTATTTATTGAATCTACATCACCACTTTGTTTGGGATCAACGAATGGTGGGGGTTCTGTTACAATGTTGCTATTATTTACAACTACAGTATTCACTAAGTCTGTCTGGTTAAAGTCTTCTTCCTCACTCTGCTGCTGCTGGTAACTTACAGGCTTTGTGTTGCTGTGTGCACTACTTGCCAGTACTTCTGATGGAGGACACGCTTCTGGTAGTTGCTGTGGCTGAAACATTGTGCCACGCACAGAAGACGGAGACAACTTTTGTCGATGCATATGTGCTTCTCCAAGTTCAATCTCTTTGTTTCTGGTTGGGGCTGTCATTTGTTCTTCAGTGTTACTGCCTTCTGCTTGGAAAGCGCCAAGCATAGAGGTCTCTGTGGTAGGCACTGGGGTAGTTGGCAAAGCTGCAAAGGACATGATGGGGGGACCCCCAGGTGGCTGTTGGTGTGGTGGGTATGTTCCATACATTGCTGCTGGGTATATTGCATGACTAGGCAGATAAATGGGAGTTCCAGTTGCATGTTGGGCTGATGGGTGGGGGAGATGTGGCGCAGGATGAGTGGGAGTTGAAGGACTATAATATGGTGGCTGATATGGATGCATTGGATTGATGGGAAAAAATTGGGTAAAACCTTGTTGTGGTAAGTTTGAATTTCCTGGAGGTGAATCCACCAGTGGAGATTGTTGCACCTGCAAAACTTCCTGAGAATGCCTGCCAGAAGAGTTCCTGTCCCCATACTGACCATCCACACGTTTGCCACTTGGCTTATTTGAACGACCACGCCGTGCTTCTCGACCCCCATTCCTGACAGGATTAGGAGACTCCTGAGAAACCTCAGATGGGTACACTTGTTGTGGGGATATATGTGGATATGCACTCATGTAGCCATGTACATTCACATTGGCTGTTACATTCCCAACATACACATTGGAGAGGGGCAAACCAGACACAATCTGATGATGATACATTGTTGTCATCACTGATGGTGGAACTGGTGCTGGGACTGATGTAGGTACTGACATAACAGAAGGGTCAGTATACATTGAACCTGGACCACCCAAATTTTGAGGATCCTGGGAGACATCGCCAATCCGTGGGGCTGCAGGGGAAGGAGAGTTCTGTGTAGCTGCAGAATCACCATCACCCCCTTCCAATACTGCAGTCACTTCACTGGGACTATCTATGGGTTCCCCTGGTCCTGTAAAGAAACAATTTTACAATCTGCAACAAGAAAAAGGGCTAGCTGTATGTGTATAATCTATAACTTCAGTCAGCAGACTAAGCCTCAAAAATATGGAAACTTATTTCAGTTTTCCATATTATGCTCTTTTCTCCATTTTCCTGTTACTACCTCTCTCTTAGGTAAAATTATTCTTGTATACCTTACTATCAGTTCAATCAAAAGTACCAAGCAATAAAATACCATGAAAGTTCAGACTATCAGCATGCAGTATGATCAATACACAGATATGAACCAAATATGAAAAACACTGGTACTTGCATATTAGTGGATAACCCAAGAAACTGAAGTTACCATCATTTCAACCACCAATTAGAGTCGGCAACCTCAGTTTGTAAAAACAAGACACAAAGTTTAACATTAGAATCCACCTCTTATAACAAGTGTAAAACAGGCTTTCAGTTTTGTCTAACGTGGGAGACAACACGGTGGTAACTTTTAAAATTATTTGGGCCACCACTTCACATGTAAGTACCAATATTTATTTTCACATTTAACATAATGCATAGTTGGTTGAGGCACTATGCTACAAGCAGGAAGGTCACGGGTTCAATTCCCGATGAGGTGAGTGAATTTTTCAATAACCTAATCCTTCCAGCCACATTTTGGCCCTGGGGTCAACTCAGCCTCTAACAGAAATAAGTACTGGGAATCTTCCTGAGGGGTAATCAACGGAAAGCAATAATAAAAAATCACTAAAATATAAAGCCAACAAATTGATCCAAAATGAAAAATAGCTCATGTTACTAATTTAGTTATCAGCCATTACAAGGCCTGAAAATCAACGTCACACGTTCCCAACTAAAGGATATGAAAGAAGTTTCCTCACTAGTGACATGTAATTTAAGACATCAGGATTTTTCTCACAGTAGACTACACTGAAATAATGGAACTGTTTACATATTAGGGTAATCTTATGGATACATGTTCTCACTGAAAGGACACAAAAAGTGTAAAAGAATGACATCACAACCTTATCTATTATTTACTACCATTACACAACAGAGATCACTTTATGCATTAAACAGCTGCCATGCAATGAAACAATTACAGGCGCATACTGCTTTGGGTATCAGCAAATCTACAGGGCATTTGTGTGTCATACATACATACAAGAAACATAAATTTATAACAAATCTAGCAACAGGAGCAGATACTTGGGCTTTTCCCACTTTGGGTCTTCTCTTGTATCTTAGCAACAGCATAAAATTGTGTTTTCTCCAATACCGCAGCAAAACTCTCCGACTCATACCCTACCAACATTCCAATTTACCTTGGTGGTCTAGTGGTAACATGCTTGCCATTGGAACCAAGGTTCACTGGTTCACACTCATCTATCCCAGGCCTGTATTTAAGGCACATAAAAGAACCTTTCACTCATGGTAAGAGATGAGTGAAAGCATGATTATACACCATATTTTAATTGCCCACAGAGTTCCTTACTCTGGTCCTTGATGCCAATGTAACCACTTGCATGTGGAGACCTCTGGTGGACAAGAGTGGAAACAAAACTGAAATCACTTAAACCAACTGAGGTATTCTGGTAATTTAACTCACCCAAGTGGTGTCCAAATAGAAAATGAGTTATGAATATGCCAACCAGCTGAGGTTAAAATCACAAATGACTTAATTGTCAAAGTGTTGCACATAAAACCAACCAATAAACCAATGGAATGTAGTCTGGGGTTATCTCACCTAAGTCCTGGCAATAGCAGAAGACAGTCTGGGGTTTCCCCCACATCACAGTGAGAGTAGAATATTTTCTTCCACAACTATTGTTTGGTTGTGATAAATATTTGATGACTTACAATGTGCAAAGAATCAAATGAAGATCCTTATATAAAGCCCATTAATGTCCCTTTTTAGCTCAAGTGTGACCTGACAAATCTCAATGAAACTCACCCTCATCAAATTTCATTAAATCCATTCACCAGTCCTTGACTTGTTACACACAGACCAACAAATACATGGCAAAGGCAACAGGCATATTTTTCCAATTCCTTGTTGCAGAACATGCTTGGAAACAGTGATGGACACAGATAACATTATGTACAGAAGAAAATGAACAGCAATGACACAGATAACAATATGCACCATAAAAATGATCATGGTTGCCTAGACACAACACCACAGATGGATAAAACTAAGAAGTATTTTATGTACAATTATTTACATGCATCTTAATAAAAGTTACCACTACTAGCATTATTTTAGAATGTGTGTTAACGAATAGGTGTCCGGTTGTGCTGCTCTAGTCTCCCCTTGTCCTTCTCTGAAAGGGCATTTTAAGCATGTTCACCCCGGAAGCACACAATTTCATTTGAAAGACTCATAATAGGGAATATGAAAAGAAAAATAATATGCAAACTCCTATCTTCTGGAATATTCCACTGAGTAGTCTGCAGAGAGTCAAGTGATATCACCTCCATCTTCAAGGTCCAAGATTTATAAAAGCAAGAAACCAACATGAAGCAGGAGTTCCAAAATTATCTAATCCTGAAGAGTTCTATCTTCTAGCACGTACACAATGTGACAATAAAGTTCTTGAACTAACGCTATTATAGTAATACTACTAATGCCATCTATTGGGGATGAAAGGGACTAGTTAGAAATAATGTTCATTTATATGATGTGCAAGTTTCAACTTGCTTGGTTGATGCATACGAGGAATGCAACTGTTTTGATGAATTTAGTTTTTTCATTGTGTCAAAGATTCCAAAATGGAACAAAGAGCAGTGATTAAGTTTTGTGTAAAATTAAAACAGTTACTGAAACATCTGAAATGCTGAAAAGTGCGTAAGGTGAAGAATGTTTATCGATAATAAGTGCATTTGAATGACATAAAAGGTTCAAATCTCAGAAAGTGGGAATTGAAAAGTTGTGGGTGAAAACAATGTTGACTTCTTTGATGCTAAAAGGCATCATTCATCTGTGCCTGAAAAAGACCACAAATGGTAAATTTTATACAGAAGTGATTAAGAGATTGATTACTCAAGTTAATCACATTTGGCCTAAGTTTCAGGAAAGTGGGTCCTGATATCCTCTGCATGACAATGCACCTGCTCATTCTTTGAGCGCTGTTTCTGACTTTTCGCAAAATAACGGATCCCCATGTTATCCCATCCACCCTACTTCCCTGGTTTCCTGCTGGTAGATTTTTTCCCCTTAAATTAAAACTACGATGAAATGGACAAGATTCAAGACTGTTTCATCGATCCAACAGACTGTGACGAGAGAACTGACGGTGATACGAGAAGAAGCATTTTCTCGGGCATTTGATTCGTTGTATGAGCAATGTAAACATTGTGTGGAAGCGGGCAGGGACTATATTGAGTGATGGTATTAATAAACATTAGTCATCTTTTTTTTTGTGTGGGTTTTTATGGCTTTAGTTCGGGAACTTAACTGTCACACTGTGTAGTCTGGTAAAAGTCAACCAATGTTTTGGAGGAATCTCCACCTTCAGGGCTGAAGAGCAAGTCAAGGATGCTTGCTTCATACTAGCTTTTGCTTGGTTTACTCCTCAATCCTGAAGATGGTGGCAACATTTTCCTCCAAAATGTCAACTGACTTTCATTGTACATGCTGTTATAACCTAGAAAACATAACTCTTCATAACTACCACCAACACCACCACCACAAAAACCTCAAATCCCGCAAGAAGAAATATACACATTACACATCTACAAACTTTCTGTACTCCAAGAAGAATATCGTGGAGTTCTTAACACCAAATACTGAGGAAGAAACTACAGAAAAGTAGCATTTGTAAAAGAATTAATGTCACCATTGGCCACAGAATTACGGTAAACAATGTAGCCCATCACCAATGCGATAGAATTCATCTTGCAGTGACGATTACAATTCTGTATCACATTAAATATTAAACTTTAATTTCACTCCTATTTAAAAGTAAATATTCCAGTAACCAAAACAAAATGCTTAAAAGAACTCTAACTTCTGTGAGCCTTATTGCTGCTGCTACATCCTAGTTTCTTGCTTGGCTCACTTGTACCCTGATGATAAAAGAGTCATGTTCCTGTTCAACTATCAGCTGATGTTCTCCGGACTACACAGAATAATATACCTTAAGATATAACTCTTCAGTCACAGCTGTGAGAACCTCAAAACAAACAAATATTACTTTCAGCTCACACTATTTTCATTCAAGATGACAGAGTCACAGAACATGTCACAAAGTTTGAGGTTCTTCAGTGCAGCATTACTGTTCAAGAAACGAGCACACATTCAGCAGAAAAAGCAAAATCATGTAAAAAAATCAAAACAGTACAAATGACACATAGTACCAAGGCTGACTTAACCCTGAACATTCATACATGCATATGCATGAACCAGCTGTGGTCAAACCAGAAATATTAGTGCACCTCTAAGTGACTAAAGGGATTTCTGCTTTAAGTGAATACTACTGAAAGTTCAAAACTTCACAAAATATGAACAAGTGTTACAGCTGCCACTGTAATTCAAATACATACACAGACCACTTAAAAGTGTGCACACATTGAGACAGCCTTTAGTGACATATAATGAGCAACAGTCTGTTACATAGGCACAGAATTAGACTTCAAAAATTTTTGGTAAGGCAAGTCCATCACATAACAGTATCTTAACGTATCTGTACAGCTCAATTCTGAAAGCAGGAAGTTCTTCCAAAACAGGGGCTGAGTGCTGTGGACACAGCACTTTCCATGGAATTGTAGTCTACTGTTGTGAGCAGAAAATTTGTTGAGTGGCTGAACAACTATCAGCTTCTTAAGGAGGATTTTGTTGCAAGCAGTAGGGTTGTATATTCTTAAGACTTATTTTTTAAGGGTTGCCTGGCAGAATTGCTGGAGACACCCCTTACTACCTTTCCTGGGATTAACAGGAAGAATGGGCAAATTTCTGCAGAGGGTTTTGCAGAGAGTTAATAAACAATTTAATGTGCATGCACAATTATATATAAAATGAGTAACAGATTATTTTAATCAAACAAAAATCCAACCACTACTTGATTTGACTGACATCAAGATGCCTGCACTTCACAAAGTGGCACGAAGTCTGGTAGACAACAAGAATCACAGTGTTGGTACGCTGGACATTTATAGAAACTTTACACCATGGATTTGTGCCTCACATTTTGCAATCAAATTTTCATCATCAAAGATGTGCCTGGAGCAAAATAATAATAATAATANATCCACCCTACTTCCCTGGTTTCCTGCTGGTAGATTTTTTCCCCTTAAATTAAAACTACGATGAAATGGACAAGATTCAAGACTGTTTCATCGATCCAACAGACTGTGACGAGAGAACTGACGGTGATACGAGAAGAAGCATTTTCTCGGGCATTTGATTCGTTGTATGAACATTTTAAACATTGTGTGGAAGCGGGCAGGGACTATATTGAGTGATGGTATTAATAAACATTAGTCATCTTTTTTTTTGTGTGGGTTTTTATGGCTTTAGTTCGGGAACTTAACTGTCACACTGTGTAGTCTGGTAAAAGTCAACCAATGTTTTGGAGGAATCTCCACCTTCAGGGCTGAAGAGCAAGTCAAGGATGCTTGCTTCATACTAGCTTTTGCTTGGTTTACTCCTCAATCCTGAAGATGGTGGCAACATTTTCCTCCAAAATGTCAACTGACTTTCATTGTACATGCTGTTATAACCTAGAAAACATAACTCTTCATAACTACCACCAACACCACCACCACAAAAACCTCAAATCCCGCAAGAAGAAATATACACATTACACATCTACAAACTTTCTGTACTCCAAGAAGAATATCGTGGAGTTCTTAACACCAAATACTGAGGAAGAAACTACAGAAAAGTAGCATTTGTAAAAGAATTAATGTCACCATTGGCCACAGAATTACGGTAAACAATGTAGCCCATCACCAATGCGATAGAATTCATCTTGCAGTGACGATTACAATTCTGTATCACATTAAATATTAAACTTTAATTTCACTCCTATTTAAAAGTAAATATTCCAGTAACCAAAACAAAATGCTTAAAAGAACTCTAACTTCTGTGAGCCTTATTGCTGCTGCTACATCCTAGTTTCTTGCTTGGCTCACTTGTACCCTGATGATAAAAGAGTCATGTTCCTGTTCAACTATCAGCTGATGTTCTCCTGACTACACAGAATAATATACCTTAAGATATAACTCTTCAGTCACAGCTGTGAGAACCTCAAAACAAACAAATATTACTTTCAGCTCACACTATTTTCATTCAAGATGACAGAGTCACAGAACATGTCACAAAGTTTGAGGTTCTTCAGTGCAGCATTACTGTTCAAGAAACGAGCACACATTCAGCAGAAAAAGCAAAATCATGTAAAAAAATCAAAACAGTACAAATGACACATAGTACCAAGGCTGACTTAACCCTGAACATTCATACATGCATATGCATGAACCAGCTGTGGTCAAACCAGAAATATTAGTGCACCTCTAAGTGACTAAAGGGATTTCTGCTTTAAGTGAATACTACTGAAAGTTCAAAACTTCACAAAATATGAACAAGTGTTACAGCTGCCACTGTAATTCAAATACATACACAGACCACTTAAAAGTGTGCACACATTGAGACAGCCTTTAGTGACATATAATGAGCAACAGTCTGTTACATAGGCACAGAATTAGACTTCAAAAATTTTTGGTAAGGCAAGTCCATCACATAACAGTATCTTAACGTATCTGTACAGCTCAATTCTGAAAGCAGGAAGTTCTTCCAAAACAGGGGCTGAGTGCTGTGGACACAGCACTTTCCATGGAATTGTAGTCTACTGTTGTGAGCAGAAAATTTGTTGAGTGGCTGAACAACTATCAGCTTCTTAAGGAGGATTTTGTTGCAAGCAGTAGGGTTGTATATTCTTAAGACTTATTTTTTAAGGGTTGCCTGGCAGAATTGCTGGAGACACCCCTTACTACCTTTCCTGGGATTAACAGGAAGAATGGGCAAATTTCTGCAGAGGGTTTTGCAGAGAGTTAATAAACAATTTAATGTGCATGCACAATTATATATAAAATGAGTAACAGATTATTTTAATCAAACAAAAATCCAACCACTACTTGATTTGACTGACATCAAGATGCCTGCACTTCACAAAGTGGCACGAAGTCTGGTAGACAACAAGAATCACAGTGTTGGTACGCTGGACATTTATAGAAACTTTACACCATGGATTTGTGCCTCACATTTTGCAATCAAATTTTCATCATCAAAGATGTGCCTGGAGCAAAATAATAATAATAATAATAATAATAATAATAGTTTAACCTCCTGCCATATTTCTTGGACCACACTCTGATCAAATTTTAGCACAAGCCTCTCTGAGCTTTGTCCTCAGCTCTTCCAATGTTGCTAGCAACAGAGGGACATACCTGTCCTTATCAACTCCCCAGAAGAAAAGTGTCATGGTTACCCCTGTTGATCTCGACCCTTTGTTCACACAACACTTGCACCAACCAAGAATTTACAGATCCCTCCTGTACTTGAGCCAAAATTGTCGTAACAGATTTCATGTAACACTAACACACAAAATCTCTCTTCCTTCATTCAGACACCACTTTGTGACACTGACAAATGCAGCCCTACCTAGCACCCAGAATGTGCTGGAAGCTGCAACCTCACATTTTACACAGAAATATTCAGATTTCAATGTGCTCAGTAATCGAAAGTGGTAATATCAAAAACATTAGCTATGAAACATGTTAAGACATGCCTGCAGATCATGTTTACATCTGCCTTCCCACAGCAATCATAATGTTCTGTATGGCCTTGTGATTATATGCAACAATCACTGCTATTAAGTTCCCAATATACAGCCATTACAAGTTTGCCCACAACTGATACATGCAAATTCACTCAATTAAGTATTCAGACAAAACACTACAGGGTTATAATATTTACACCATTCTGAACCAATGTTGCATTTTTACCTGTAACCGTAGACACTAGACCCAGAGCTGGAGCTGCTGGGGCATACAGTGGTGGGGGAAGGAAGACACCCCTGAGAGTGGGGTGGGGGATGGGGGCCACAGCTATCGAGAATGGAAAAAAAAAAAATTCTGGTCAGATCTGTTCAATATAATGATCTATAGGTTGAGATATCTGAATATGCAGCAACTACCTACACAAAAGAATATCTAACCACAAACAAGTAAAACATAGTTCCAAACATATCCTGGGCTGGATATGCATGAAATGGTCAAAGTATTATAAAAACTGGAACTGTAAGGTACAAATGGTTAGAAAACTGCCACAAGACCAAATTAAAATTAACTTGAGCAGTATCCTTTGGTGCAGCATTTCTCAACAGGGACTTGACAGTCGGTTGGATGGGACATAAAGGCTGTAAAAATAAGACCTCCCTTCTTCAATTAACAATTAGTATTACCAACAGGTACGTATCAATAAACATAAACTTCCTGAAAATAAAAGAAAGGATTTGTTTTTACAATGGTGGGGCCAGAGCCTTTTTTGAGTAAACGACCAAGACACCAGATGAAAAACGTTGAGCACAAGGAAAGCTGAATGTGCTCTACCAAAGCAAACATATCTCGGAGAAAATAAGTATACTATAGCAGATGTACAAAGCCTTATATATAGCACAGTTCATTTAATATCTACAAGTAGATAGTCCTTATGAGAAATTATCCAAACTCTTAAAGGCAGAAGAAAAAAATGTCCTGTACAGACATACTGCTATCCAACGTCCACCAAGCACCTGCCTCTTGATAATGTTTAAGGAAAAAGAGCATCAATTTATTCCTGCTTTAACATACAGTACATCCATAGGCTATCTACGTGGTCCCACGTGCCTTGGCGTGCATTTAATCACAACAATTTGGAACTTGAATGCCATCTTGAGTGAAAAATGTACCTCATTTTCCTCTATATCAGGCCACTCCACAAAAGAGGACACAATGACAATTAGTTTAAACACTCATAGAACCATGACACGAATCGTAATGAAGGGCTGCAAACATGGGCAATCCTGCAAAACTACAACGATCAAAAGCACATTTACACTGGGAACATTTCCCACAATTAAAATCTTCAGATGATTAGCAACAATATATGGGTCATAATTAACACGCAGAGCTGTCTCTATGACCATCAGGATTTGTATCCATTACTCTTGATGATGAGATCTAGCCTTCAAGTATGTAACTATATTTTTGTGGATGTGAATATAAAATTACAAGGTAATCTTATTTCAATCAACAAGAGTACAGTTCAAACATACTGGTCAAGAATTAAAGTAGCATCTCAAAACTGAAAGAAGTTGGACCACTGCTTGCATACAGAAGTGTCCATTCACATTCATGCATGACACAGAGAGGTTTGCTCCTTCATTTGCGGCTTTGTTGCCACTGGTGGTGTGTAGAGCAAGATTCAGGTCACAGTTCAGCTTCTCTCCAACAAACATGACTGCTACTACATCACCTAAATAAAGGCTCTGTCAATTCTCACAAAAANAAAAAAAAAAAAAAGTCTTCAGCAAATGGAAACAAAAAATAAATTACACAAAAGGGAAAAAAAGTATGCTGAAAATTAAAATTACTTATTACACAATACAACTTCTGAGAGTGGTGTTCGTCCACTGTTGCATTATTTCATAACGACATAAATTCTGTAATACAAGTTCGCCATCTGTGATTTCCACAATATTTCCAACTCAAAGAGTCTTGTTTGGATGTCTTGGCAAGTTTCTGGTGCTAGGACTAGTTCTGGCTGATGTTTCTTCCTACTGACTGCATGTCATGCAACATTCTGTACAACTTCGTACCACACATGGTTTGCTGGATAAAGGCGAATACAGATAGTGCTGTGAAAATTTTAGACGCACATAGTGTAGTGACAAATTTTAAAACGATTCAATTTTTAAATCTTAATACTGTTGCATGGACAGTAAACAGAAAATAAATTCAAATATTAATGTACATCCGTAGGTCATAACATAAGCCACATTACTAGCCTCCAGCTTCTCACCACAGAGGTTTGAGTTCAATCCTATGGTAGCCCATTTGGAATTTGGGGTGGATAAAGTGACACTGACACATACTCTTCTCCAGGCAATATGGTTCCCCCCCCACTAATTGCCATTCCACCAATGCACCATACTCATCATCAAGGGCAGGTACAACAGGCCTGAGGCTGCTGTATCCAGGGACTCAGTCTCACCCATGCCTACAATTAATGGACATCTGTGTTTGGGTTTATAAGCAACTTGCATGTTTATGCACAACATAACATTCTGAAATCGCTGCAATGCAAGAAGGATAAGTTTCAAAAGATCCCGCTATTCTGCAAGACAGATACTAAAACTCACCCACAGGACATGATCTGGGGACATCAGCCAATTAGGCTGGCAGCATACTTGTTAAAACTGCTGTGCAGGAAGTTCTCATGCATCAGAAAACAATGCTGGACACTGAGGGTAAAAATTATGAAAATGTACCCTTCAGCCAATGCAGAGAGTCCAGTAGGAGTATGAATTCAGTGTCTGCAATGTGCCAATGACAATGCAAGAGGTACACATTATCTTTCAACAGTAAATTGAAACAGACATACCCAGCACAAGCTGGGCATATCAAACACATGACAGAGAATAAAGCAATACAATTTTAAGAAAATTAACTAATTCATCATTATGTAAACCTCTGTTTTTACAGATTTCTATACTCTTCGATATTCTTGGAAAATTTAAATTTATGTATCTCAAAGAACAACAGATATATAGAATATGGTCAGTTTTCTGCTTTTGTTTTCTAAGGTCTATGAAATTCAAAACACCTTAACACTCTAGGATGTATGGTTCTGAAACAATAAGCAAAAAAGTATTTTTCTGGGGTTCCAAAAATTATGGCAAGCGTTTCAAGGTATCTTAAATCTCCCCAGGGCAGCTCATTACCACCACACCAAATTGGTCGGAATGGGTGAAATGGTACGGAGACTAATTTTTGCAGGGACTATGTGTGGTGGGATTGCATCACCTGGATTGCACATGTCTCGTCCTACAGAAACATCAAGATCCCCCTTTTGGAATGTCCAGATAACCGAACCACTGATGATGAAAACCTATGTTGCCCAAGAACATTCTTGACCTTTCCTTATGGATGACATAAAAAGGAGTACAAGTATACAGTGAGTGAGTCAGTTTTCCATTCAGCTCAGTCAAGTGAAATAAGTGCAGTGCAGTGCAGTGGTGCTGCTGTGAAGTAATGAGTGAACAGAGAACTGATCTCAAGAGCATAAGTAGTTACAGACAATGGAACAGCAATTCCCACATATACCAACAACTGATGCAGTATAGAGAACACAGAAACACCCTTCTTTAGAGACCTAACAGTTCCTACTTACTATCTTTCACCATCAAGTACAGTTATTTGCCTTTCTCATAAGTTTCAGTTGCATTTGCAAATATTTTAGACATCATATCAAGGGATCTTTGTCTTTCCTGAGCTACGATAAGTAAAACATATTTTAAGATCTTCACAAAGTATTTTGAAAGTATTAATAATGTCGAAATAAAAGGTAAAATTAAAACAGGACGTTTTGGTGGCCGGACTCTGTCTCCATTTTCAGGTAAAAAACCTACACAGTTGGGCCCAACTGATAGAGCTAGTCCCTATCTCTGGACATCTGTACCAACACCAGAGAGGGTATACAAGCCAAGCACAGCAAAAACAATCTATGAGAGCTCAGAAAACCTTAAAATATTAAAACTCCACATGTATGAGGCCTTTCACCAGAGAACTATAAAAAAACAAGTCATCACTGGAGAGAAAAATTCTCCATATGGTACCAACACAAAGACACAAATTTTCTCATTCAATCTACACTGAACAAAGTTGTATTTTTTTTTTACTTCTGCTGTAATAACGGGAGTCCAGATGGGGGAGACGTCTAAGCTGCATTGACAGGATGGTCCATCAGATACATGTGGGAAGATTCCTTGTATTTCCCGTATGTGCTGTTTGCTTCAATCTACAAGACCCTCACATCATTCCAACAAATTTTGTTACCTTCTTTGCATGCATGTTGAGCTAATTTTGATTCTTCAAGCAAACCTTGTGCCAGGTTATATCTGTGCTCCTTAATGCATACTTCTATACATGTCACAATCACATGGGATGTCGTACACACAATGATTTGACTGCGGGGATTATCTAACTTGTCCAATTTTCAACAGAGTGTATGTTTAGTTCTGAAAATGGTCCTGACATTGAAATGATTTTCAATGTGTCTGCATTTCTCAGAAATACCCTTAACATATTGGTTAATGACACTGCCCTGGTATACTGTATCTGAAGAAGGATGATTGCATCAGGCCATGTCTTATGTTCTTAAATTCACTGTTTAAATAATTCTGATCCTGACATATCATCTTGGCTTGGATGACTAAATTATGAATGACTTCCCCTTTTTACATGTGGGTGGTTAGACTCAAAAGTGCTTGACTTATATACCCTATCTGTTGTCAGTACAGATGTCTGGAGACAGGGACTAGCTCTATCGATTGGGCCCAACTGAGGTTCTACCTGAAGACAGACAGAATCGTCTCTGGAATGTTTTTAAATATGAACAGGATTGTATTTTAGATAAAAACAGGATGATGGATAATGTCCAGAAACATAATATTGTATTAATGTACCACTGCCACAAACTTTTAGATCTTATTTAATATAAACTGCCATAAAAACTGACAGTTAAAAATCTTCTTCTATGAACCCCCGATAGTCAACTGTCAATGATAATTGCATGTCAATATCACAGGAGATGGGACTGAAGAATATGACTGAGTTAAGTTCAGATCAATTTTATATCTTAAACATTAATAATATTATTAGGAAAACATGGCAATAATGAACCTCTGGAAGTATCTGAAATACATAAGGCTAAACCAGTTGTACGAATAAAGCAGGACACTGTATCTGACAGTCAGTTACAGCAAATACATATGAATTAAACAATTTCATGGAAAATGTAAAACACAATTAAAGTTATTTACCATAAGAAGCAGGTCTCCATTCTGCACGAGTGCACGCAGGATCAGACTGTCCCCCCCATGGGAATTCTGGATAATTTAAGTTTGGATTCCACGTGAAAAGTGTAGTTTGGAGGAAATTACATTCTTCTTCATCAGCATTTGTCAGATCAAGGAATTGGATCTCCTGAAGGCAGACAGAAAACAAATGATACAAAAATAAGAAATATTTCAGTGGTTTCTACACCTGTGTCCATAAACTTTTGCCTCGATGCATAACTAAGCCACACATTTAAAACTACAGTAGCGACCACTTTACCCACAACACCATTCACACATTATCACATGAAATTAGTCCATATCCAAGTGAACACATATACACTGGCCATTATATACTGTATATTTGTGATAATTCTTTACATATATCCTCTTCTGAACATAAACATAAAAAAAGAGGTTAAAGTTCACGTATCAACTTGAACAATATAGTTAGTTATTTAGAGAGGGTGGGTTTCCCCATGCACCGCGACCAGTTTGATCTATTGTGCTTCCCTCTATGATATTCTACCAGTCTCTATACCCTACCGCTAAATGGTGCGTACCATCAGACCGGCCGAGCAAGCGAGTTCGGTCACTTGCTTAGCGGTGTCTATAATGCTTCCCCTATCTATCAGAGGCCTCAGAGACTATTGTTGGGCGGGAAACGTCCTGGAATTTGGCTCAGTGATCCCCTTTGGGGATATGAGGTTCTTTTACATGCCGTAAAGTTACGACACGGGACACACAGCTTAAAGTCCCTCCCGGACGACTTGTCCCCTAAATTTTTCCGCCCTTAAAAATTCGACGACCTCCCCCAGGTATTTGAACCTGCATACCATGAGTTATGAGGTGGGAACGTTAACTCTAGACTACGGAGGCCGCTTTGAACAATGTGTTACTGCCCATATCTGAAATCATATCTTGGTTAACAGTGCCAAGAGCTGAACCATATACTTGTATTACCAACAGTAACATATTATGTTAATATGGGGATCAACAAGCTGAAACATGCAGTTCAATCCATAAAATGATCAAAACCAGCTGTCTCCAGCATTCAATGCTTAGGGTTAAAGAATACCTTTGATATAATTTGTGCCTAACATTCAACGGTATTTTAGCAGTATCAGGGATGCCTACCTTATACAAGCAGAAGCTTCTTTTCACTTTTGGGTACAGTTTCTTTTTGGTAAAGTGATACAGGGTGGGCAAGGAAGGGCTGTTTTCATTCATGAATAAATTCTGTTTTATGGATAATGAAAAGTAAGTTTACATATTATCATGTATAGGGACAACCTAATTTAAAAAGATTTATTTTGGGAACAGTCAGTATGAACACTAAACTTGGGAAAATCTGAGGTCAGGGAAATTTAACACTCAAATTACTGACTGAAACTGAACAGCAAATTATGAAAAATTCCACCTGAGGAATATTAAATGGGGGTTAAACCTACAAAAAACTTAGAAAATTAAACGTGAAGTAATAATGGCAGGCTTCCCAATTATAACATTTATTGCTGTACATTTGTATAGTTGTGACATTTTTATTTGGCAACACAAAAAATGGCACTTCATGTGTGAACCTTATTTGCACAGCATTGTGTCCTGGAAGTTTTATTTTCATCAAAATAAGCCTGATCATTCAGGCAAAACAGTGCTATATCTCATACTTCAAGACTCGGGGCAAAGTTTAAGTGGTTGTTTCATATTTTCTCCTGCCACGATTTGAGGTTCTCAAAGCAGTGGCTAGGAAGAGCTCTTATCTTCTTAAATATGATGCCGCACAGTATACTGACATCCAAAATTTCTGAAATACATACAGTCTCCTTATTCAATATGCAAGAGTAAGCTAAGCAAGAAACCAGCATGAAGTGGACCACAAGTGAAGAATATCAAGTGTGGAATTTGGCACATAGTTCACTCTGCTTTCTGTAACTTCACATGGGTGATATCACAAAGCTTAGCAGAAACAGGAAACAATTCAAACAGCATGTGGACCATGAAGAATGCTACATGACAAAAAGGCCAAATCAAATAAGAAGATAAGAATCAAGGAACTGCATTAAACATCACATGCAAACAAATATACAAAATGGAGAAAATGGAAAACCACTGAAATCCAGAACCAGTGAATATAAAAGCAATTCAAAACTGGATAAATAATAGTATCTAAAACAGCAGAAAGCTCCTAAAATTAGAGCCATCAAACATAACTAGATAAAGCAGAAAATATCCATAAAAAGATAACACTCATCAGCCATTCAAGCCTAGATGTATGTGCACACCACAAGGCCATCAACGATGAAGGCAGCAACTAACAGCATGTGAAACATGGGTGCAATTATCATCATCACTGGCATGACAGCCCTTTGTGAGCCCTGGCCTTCCTCAGGATTGCTCGCCATTCTTCTCCATTCGATGCTACATTCCTCCAGTTCTTTACACCCAAAATTCTTATGTCCTGCCACACACATTCTTCCCATCTTAATCTTGGTCTTCCCACTCTCCTATTTCCTTCTCGTTTGGTGTTAAGCATTTGCTTGATGGTTCTATTCTCGCTGGCACATATTACGTGTCCAGCCCATTCAAGCCTTTTCACCTTTATAAATCCAATAATGTCTGGTTCATTAAATAGTTTGTATAGCTCATGGTTATACCTCTTCCTCCATATTCCATTTTCTTCCAC